CTTAGGGATCTTTGAATTGGTTGACATAATTGGCATTAAAGCAAAGCGAAGCCACAGGCAAAACTTAATTCTGAATGAAAGTCAAGTAAATACCAACGTGCTAATATTAACTTAATTACCTTAATTGACTACTAGTTGACCCGGTGAACTTCGTTTCACCTAATTAATCTAAATACGCGACAATCAGAATATTGTTGATTCGATACTCTTATTTAATTTAATACCTTCTTTAATTCCGGCATCTAAGTTTATCGTATTGACTACTGGGGCGAACATAATATATGAGATAGTTAGGAAAAAATTGTATGGCTTTTTTTCTAACTTTTCCAAATGTTCCTACCGCTTAAACTTTCCCTGGATTCTTTCCCTGAGTCAAATCTGTTAAGACGTTTCTGAGTTTTACTGAGACTAACGCACAGCAATTCATTTTTATATATCAGATGATGCAGCCTTTTAAGCCCGCATTATACTACAACTTTTATCTGCACCTTAAAGATCTTCATCCAAGATCGTCACAGATTAGCATAGAAATATCCTCTTGCAAGTCCTCATACCCGAGGTGAGAGTCTCTGAATGGCTCGTTCGTATTATCCGCCAAATGATAAGGGCCGAAGACATAATTACTGACAGTGCTCGGATAATTCAATTGTTGCTCAAGAGCCCACACATGGTACAAACTCCGCTAATTCTGTTTACACGTGTCTCTGAAAGTATGGTGTAAATCAAAAGCGATTTTCAGTTTGTTGTTTCGAATGTTATAAATTCTAGCTATACGTAAATAATGCCATGATATTTTAGATCAGTTTGACTCCTTGAAGTGGTGTAGTTTCACTTTCTCATTCTCCTTCTCTTGTGCACTAACCTTTACTAGCCGCAACCTTTCGCCATTGTTCATTTATTGCTTGGATAATTGCACTCCACGACTGTTCACATATCAAGTGGTTCTTTAAAATTTCACATAATTTATTCTCCTCTTTCATTACATGTTGTCAGTTAACATTAACATAGTTCATCACATCAACAGTCTTTAATAATCCACACTATCCTTAAAAAAGAGGTTTTGGCCTACTACACCACGCTGGCCAGACGGGATGGTATAGGGTTTGTGTCAAGTTTTCCTTCTCTTTGCAGTGCTGTTGTCCTGCGTAGTTGGCTCCCTTAGTCGGCTCTTACGACACCCACGGGATGAATAGGGGTGGTGACACTCTGTATTCTTAATCCGTCATTACATAGTTGTCAGTTGTATTTTATTCTTTATTACCATATTTACAATGCTGCATTACAATGCACATGCATGCAAAATTTAGTACAGATTAGTAAGAAAAATATATGAAATATTGTAAACTTGTATTATGGATGACTTTTTACACAATAGATAAGAGGTTGCCGTTGACCACCGTACTATTTACATGTAAGTATACACTACTGTAGAGAAAAAAAAAGACGTGTGGCACTGCCGCGGTAAAGCTATTGCATAGCATTTTGTAACAACTTATGCAATTATAATTATTTATTTATTTTATTTATGCAGTATTTCTTTTTCTTTGATATTAATTCAAGTTACACTTTTTGAGCGTGGTGACCGATAAGAAAACAATTTTTTTTCTTTTATTAAATAAAAATATTGAAGCATATATTACAATTTGTTTTTAAATAAATAAATAAAAATTATTATTATTAAATCAAATTACATATCCATGTAAGATTTTTCTGCATTATGTTGACGAAATTTCCTTTGACTTTTTTTCGTTACGGCATTTCTGGATTCGGTCCCCGCGCTCAAGGCCCTCGATAGAAGCTATGCAATAGCTTAATAAATACTAGATGATACGGTGCCTGATTGCTGGGGTTTCGGTTCGTTCAAGCATAATGGTAAGTGGGAATTATCAGAATTTAAACGAGCAAACTGGCTTTATCTTTCAAATGACAGGGGTACACTACTAGCACCAGGGACTTCCTTTCTAGGGTATACCTGGTTCCCCGGCTATTAGTACCCGAGACGGCGTGCGGTTTTAGTCGGTTCGAGTCCGACATGCCACCGATAGGTGGTATCCGAGGGGATTTCCGCAAGGAAAAAAAAGGGTACACTACTAGACAATAACTTCTTTAAAATATACAATATAATAATAAATGATCCCAAACTAGGCAGAGTCTGTGCTATGGTAACCAGACTGCTAATAAACATACTTATATTATTTTTTTACATATTATAGACAAATTACACAAAGACACAGAACAAATGATCATGTTGATCACACAATATTTGTCCTGGGTGGGAATCGAACCCACGACCTCGGGCTTAGCAGTCAGGGGCACTAACCACTAGACCAACAGGCCCGTCAAATAGATCCTGGAAAACCTGGACCAAATTTGTAATTTATATACCGACACTCGTATCCCTTGTCACTTACGCCGTGTGTTAAGTTGTTGAGTGTGGTGACGAAGTTTCTGGGATTTGACAGCTGCCGACCTTCTCTAGAGGACACATACTTGACCAAGTTATCGTAGTACCATTTACTACACAAGATTTCATATAGTGTTCTAGACAATTGATTAAAATATGAATGTGTGGTGCTAAGGAGACTCATTAAATCTATTTGTGACCGGGAAGGGTTAAAAAAAAAACAGTTTTCCACAATGGTTTTTAATGCATGTCTCAGTTAATTTAACTGATTTCGGTTTCTTGTATATACTATTCATTTTATTTCTATTACAGCTCATTCATTTCTATGCCACCCAAATGTAGACTAGTAGAAAAAGTCAGCCAGTGGCATTAAATCCACCATTCTAATATTTTTAGTTATGAACAAATTATCAAATAAAAATAATAATAACAAAAGCATTAAATGGTGGGACCATTTAATGCTTTTGTATACCATAAAACCATTATGATGTATCTTGAGATTATTTCCTTTTCATGTTTGGTTTTATAATTAAATTGAGTTTATAAAATAAGCTTCCTTCTTCTTCTTGCTTTTATCTTCTTATTATTCAGACCACGGAGCAAATACAAAGAAGATGTGATTCGATTTCCATATAAAACAACTTGTGACAATTTGCGGGGTGAGGGGTGTTAAGCTCCACGCACTTCACTTTTTTCCAGCGACCAAATGATAGCAAAACTGTTGACATCGTTCTATATCAATGTTGTTATTTAGTTTAGCTATCTTACACTTAGTGTAGGATGTAAGGGACGTACTCAGAATTTTCGTACCAGTATTTTTTTTTTCAAGATTAATTTTCTGACCCATCTTGATACTTACATCAAAAAATCTTACTCATTTATCGTTGGCAAATAACACTTACACAGTAAATATCGTGAGATAACCACGTTATTTACTGTGTAGGTGTTTTTTTTTATACAAATTTGGTATACAAATTTTGTATACAAATTTGGTATACAAATTTTTTATACAAATAGATTTTGAAAATAATGTGAGAATAAAAACATTTGTGGTAAATTAAGAATAAAGTTTAAAATTTGTTCTCTTATTAATTCTTATTTAATCTGTATTTATGTGAACGGCTTATCTTTTTGCCTTAGTGTCGCCCCACTACGGAGAAAAAGAGTGTTATAATTTTAACCCATAGTTCAGTATACTTGATATTTTTGAAGGAGAAAAAATAATATACAAATTGTAATAATTAATGGAATTTTATTTACACATTAAATTAAATTAAAATATTTTATTTCAAATTCGGCATCTGAATTCACTTTTTAACGCCAGTCTGAGAAATAACAATTAATGAACAAAAAATAACCAACGCTTAAAATAACTATCAAATAACTAAGCTATAAAGATGTCTTGCGGTAAAAATCTACTTTGAATATTTTAAATAGAGTATTTACTTTAAAGGATACTTTAATTTATTAGGTATAATTCATAAATCACCATTTCTTAGGTTGACTTTTACGAAATGCTCAATGTAATGCTCGTGTTTTTTTTTTGCAATTAAAATGTTTTTTTTATTGAATAGGAGGTGATGTTAGATGTGGTGAGCCAATGCTGGTACAGATGTCGCTAAAAGGCTCTAAAAGTTAATATTTAAAAAAAAGATGGTACACTTACAATAAAGTAATATAAAAAAAAATTTGTATGTTCTTCTAAATGAACTTTAAATTATCTAAGAAATTATTAAATTATTAACTGACAAATAAATGAACAATAATAGTTATTATTAATATTATAACCAATAATAATTATTCTAATTATTAATTGGCGTTTTTATTATTAGAAATGTCTATATGTACATAATTTGAAACAAAAAACAACCGTGAGTTACACTGACCAAATTTTTTTTATTATTTTCTGACAAAATCATACCGTAAATGGAACGTAAATTTTTACAATAATTTTGTAACTACAGAGAAAGCTTATATATTGTTAGATACACGTTTTTTTTAAATGTATGATTAATGTAGAAAGGTGCTATTATTGGGTCCCAACACAATATTTAGTTGCTACATGGTACAAGACCCTGAAAAAAGTTACGTATACCAAAAAATTGGTACGTCTAATATCCCTACTCTGGCGCAAGCAATAACAATTGTTGTATTTTTACAGTACTAGAGGTGGCAGTAGATAATATATTATCTAAGCGATATAATGTTGAATAGTGATAAAAATGGCGGCGACTCATGACCTCTGTCTACCTGTATCTTTATCACTGTACACTTAACACAGATGATTCTGCTGATAATTGAAATAACGCTCACAGTAAAATTTTCCCAAAAATGCAAATAATAATTACTAGTTGTAAAAGATTGTACTATATGTTGTTGGTATGTGTTTTGTATTTAGTATCAAATTGAATAATTTCCATCTGATGAATGATGAAATGGTTCTCTGTTGTTAGTTAATAATAACTACAGTATTCTGACTTGTTTTAACATCAAATATACAACATTTCAAAGCTTGATTTCCATTTCAATACAAAACGTATCACGTATCTTGTGATCTCTCAGGTTTTTAAAACTAAGGCGCAGGTGGATCCAGGTTTTAGGAGTTGTCAGTAAGGGAAACTTTAGCACTAGGATAAGCTATTTGAAGATATGCATTTGCTCTATAAAAAAGATCCCAGAAAGTGACACGTTCATTAAAAGGCCGATTCTCAAGTTTTAAGGGAGAATCAATGTTCATCGCAGGTGTCATTGACTTGCTGGTGATTGGAGTCCACTGTATTGGAAGCAGTGCCGATACTTCAGGTGTGGGGTTACTGAAAACAAAAATGTAATAAATTAGGTAATTGACGGGCCTGTTGGTCTAGTGGTTAGTGACCCTGACTGCTAAACCGGAGGTCGTGGATTTGATTCCCACCCAGGACAAATATTGTGTGATGAGCACGGTCATTTGTTCTGTGTCTGGGTGTAATCTTATATATAAAATTCTAGTGTCACAATGTTCGTTCCCGTACTCCTCCGAAACGGCTTGACCGATTCTCATGAAATTTTGTGTGCACATCGGGTAGGTCTGAGAATCGGCCAACATCTATTTTTTACACCCCTAAATGACAAGGGTCCCCTAATTTTTTTTAAATATTTCCTAGAAATCATTTATATAGCAAAACAACGTTTGCCGGGTCAGCTAGTTTATCTATAATATGTATCTATTAAAAAAAATATGTATGTATATCAGCAGTCTGGTTATCATAGTACAGGCTCTGCCTAGTTTGGGATAAGACGGCAGTGTGTGAGATGTGTGAGATATATTATAGTATATATTATAATTTTATGTGCGGTGTTACAGAATTCAATACCTGAATATCATTTACGAGAATACCTTTTATGACATGATCGAGAGTAGTTCTTAAATCAATTTTGAAAGAATTTTTATTATGAGGATTGAGCTTCAGTACAGATTTTTTTAACACAATAAAGTATGATCCAGTTGCAGTTAGATTCACCTTGACCTTGGCTCTTCTTCTATTGCCTAATCATTATCTCTTCTGATGACATTAGTACCTAATATTTTACCTTTTGATGTTCTTTGGAAGCACACTTCCAAAAAAAAAGGTGAGTATGGCTCGTTGAGATTTTAGGAACCCGAATATAATCTCTTATGATTTTTATACCTTTCATTATCACATGTAGCTGAGTTATATTTATCGACTGAGGAGACGCAGCCTATAAGAAATTGTACTTCAAACCTGTAGTGATAGATACTGTTAAGGAAATAAAAATAATCAAAGTTACAAGTTTATCCTTACCCAAACTTAACGAAGTTGGCTAACATTGTGGTACTTTGATCAATAATTACTTGATCCTCAGGGGTTATTGGTTTAGTCTTCATATAAAATATGTCAAATAAATAGCCAGTTTCATCACAATGAGCCGCACCTGTAGCCTCGGATATATTTAAATAATCCTTTAAATAGTTCCTTTCACCGACGTATGAAAATACATACAAAAATATATTTCCCACTTCGTTATCTAAATACTTTGAAATGCTTCTGTAAGTTGGATGAACGAAATTAAAGTCTGAATCGAAGTCGATAACACCCTGTTTGACTGTTGCACTTATTGGTTCATCAGCAAAGTAAAAATGACGTACGATATCTTTCATGCCATTAAATTCATCAGCGTCAGCATCAAAACCTAAAGGAAGAACGGTCTCAAAGATATTAAGGTTCTGATAATATTCGTCATTTTCAGACGTATATTTATAATACTGTTCGTCACTATTGAAGCCAATCAGGATAGGAATATTTTTAATTTTAGGTATTTTAGCTGTAATCCAATTCTCTGTTAGGAAACTTTCGACACCATCGAACTCTTTTTCGATGCAAGGCCTGAAAAAACTATCCAACCCTAAATTCCTAACAGCAGCCATAACTAATTGACTGTCGGTCTCCACTAAGAAATTAAGAGCTTCATCCATATCATTGGTCGGATAGCCTAAAAATTCTGCAAGTACTATTGGCGCATTCTTAAGTGGCTCTCTAAAAATAGGTGATAAGGATGTAGCACTTTGTATGATTGCCTTGTCAAACAATTTTTCATTATTTGAAAGCAAATGCATGTCTACAGATATCGCGCCTGAACTTTCGCCTGCTATCGTTATTTTATTGACATCTCCTCCAAATCTTTCAATATTGTTGTGGATCCATCGTAATGCCAGCAGTTGATCTTTTAAGCCCTGATTGCCTGGTATTTCAGGGGTATCTAAGCACATGAAACCATAAGGACCAACTCTATAGTTAATAGAAACTATAATAATATCGTGTCTGACTAAAAAACGGGGTCCATACAGATTTCTATTACCAGACCCATTGATAAAACCACCACCATAAATCCAAAAAAATACAGGTAAACGGTTCAACGATGTGGCGGAATCAGGAACAAATATATTTAAGTTCAAACAATCGAGAGATCCAGCAAGAGTGTCCTTGAATTCCTCTACTTGAGGACAAACTGTTGAGTCATTGAATGCCTCGAAAGTATTTTCAAACGCTGGATAAGGTTTTGCGACCTGTAAGAAAGGTATCAATGAGAAATATATTTTGTTTTTTTTAATTCATGATCTCCAAAAATATTTATTTAAATAAAGTTGCAATGTTACTTAAAAGATTATTTATTTTGAGTTGAGCAGACCATGAACATTTGCTGTAAATATAAAATATATCAACATTTTTTATTGAGACACGTTGGCTATTCGTAAATGAAATATTATTTGTAAGTATCTTTATTCATTAATTTAATTAAGTTTTTATCATCATAAACAACAATCCTAGTTGGATTAATGTCAGCCGATGATCACGGCCAAAACAATCTGATCAAAAATTTAATACTACCTTTAAATGATAACAACTTACTTTAATTATGAGAATCAACTTTACTTACTCCAAAGGGATTATTCACATCAACTTGTCCAAACGGTATTCCAAGGAACATTGAGTAATCGCCATCATCAGCCCTTAAACCTTTTATTAAACCGACACTAGTTTGAACTAAAGGATCTATCCTGAGTTGGCTTTGAACTGTACAATATAAAAATATTAATGCTAAACATTTCGAAAGAAACATCTTCGTCTAAAAATCAAGGAATGACTAAAACGAGGTTTGCGAGATTTCGAATATATAACTTCACAGGCAATTTTTCAGCAGCTAGTACAGTTTAGATAACAGATAAAGTATTTAGTTTCTTGTGTTATCTCAAAGAAGTGTTTGACAGCAACGAAACCAATTATTTGACGTATTTGTGTCGAAAAAAGATCATTTTAAGTAACTACTTAATATTTTTATCAATTCAGATGCATGTTTATTTCAGTAGATATTGTTGCGCCATAAGATTAAATGATTGTCGTATTGTATAGTTAGTTCGTGAAAAACAGCGAGTCTTATGGAATTTGGAGAACAGCGCCATCTACGAGTAGTATCAAGTGATGCACGGCGAATGTATGTATGTAAGGTATTTATGTAAGCTAAGCATGTTGGCAATACGACACAGTATTACTTTACGAGACAGGGGATCAAAATCAAACCAATATTTTAGTGCAACCAAGGTCTTATTTAGTTAATTAGTGTTTGTAAACCGCCAGGACGCACAGGTGCTCTTGTTAAAAGACACTCATGAGACCTTCGTCAAAGAACTGAAGAGAGTGTTGGATCAGGTTCTTCAACACTAGAACCGTCTCACTGAAGCAGAAAATCTGATTGCCGACGTGAAGAAGGCGTTAGGGAACCTCAAAGTTGGAGACGGGACGGCGGCTACTGTAACTACACTTTGAACCCTCAAACCGAAGACGCACTTCGGTGCGAGGGTTTAAAGTGCCGCCGTTTGATGGAACATCTTCGTGGTCAGGTTACAAGATCCAGTTTGAGACTGTTATGACTGCGAATGGCTAGACTAAGGCCCAGACTATGATCACGCTTACATTGGGTCTGTGAGACCAGGCCTTAACCGTTTTCTAAGCCCCCGGTTAGAAACTGACCCATGAGCAACTGCGCAAAGCATTTGAGACAAGACATGGTGACGCTCACCTGGAGCTCGTGTTTCGTGCTTAGCTTAAACTTGCAACAATAGGCCCTGGAAGTTAAGTCTGACGTAACGGAGTGTTAAATACTACTTGCGAGATCAATTCGGCACTACTAATAGGTATGTCCATTTATGGTGTCATATAACAAACAAATGTCCAGGACCATACGTCTGTCTTCAAGAGTCAACAAGCCGTGGGCTTTACAACTTTGACGGTAGGCCATAACTGGCTTACGCAAACGATAGTTAAGGTGATCTATAACAATTTTTTTTGTATGCGTTCTATTTGATTAAAATTAATTATATAGAAAGGGACCAAATAGGACAACCTTATTATACTATACATAATAGTAGGGGTATTATAATGTGTTTAAATATACTCTAATATCTTATTTTAGACTTTTATTAATTCCATTAGATGAAAACAACAACACTATATATTTATAACAAATACATGAAGCCTTTTCGTTTAACTATCCAGTTATTTTGACAGACACTTAAGATGTTAAAATATAATTTTTCTACGCCCAGCTTTTCAAAGAAATGGGTATTCCACTTTCTCCTTCCCCTTTTAAATATTTTATTGGTTACGTTTATTTGTTTATGTCAAAGCTCTGTTTTGGGATTAACTGGTTGGTCATTGTCAGACAATACAACTTTAGCACTTGGGTAAACTATTTGAAGATGTGCATTCACTTTGTAAAAAAGATCCCAGAACGTTACGCGTTGCGTAAATGGTCGACGTTCAAGTTTCAATTCAGTGTCAATGTTAAGGCAAGGTGTCTCTAATTTGTTGGTTACAGGAATCCAGGTAATGGGCAGTAGCTCTGTTACTTCTGGCGTTGGGTTCCTAAAACAAAAACACACCACATTAAAATATCCTGTAAATAATGATAAGAAGTCATGAATATTTGCTTTCGCTTACCCAAATTTAACGAAGTTGGCAATCATTGTGGTCGTTTGATCTATTTTCATTTGATCGTTCAAGTTTATCGAATCATTCTTCATATATGATATATCAAATATATACCCAGTTTCATCACAATGAGCCGCCCCTGTGGCCTCAGTTAAATTGAGAAAATATTTTAAATAATTTCTTTCTCCAACGTACGAGAATAAGTAAAAAAATATATCTCCTGCCTCATTATCCAAGTACTTTGAAATGCTCCTATAAGTGGGATGAACCATTAGAAAGTCGGATTCAAAATCTATGACACCTCGTTTGACTGCTGTGCTCATTGGTTCATCACCAAAGTAAAAATGACGCACTATTTCTTCCATACCTTTAAAGTCATCGGCGCTGGTATCAAAACCCCGAGGCAGATAATATTTAAGCGTGTTACGTTTTTTATAAAATTCATCCTCTTCGAACGTGTGCGCAAAATGTAGTTCATCGTTGTTGAAGCCAATAAGAACTTGCATATTTTTAATTTTAGGAATATTTGCTGTAATCCAGTTCTCTGTAATGAAACTTTCGACGCCCTCAAATTTTTTTTCAATACATGGTCTAAAATTATCATCTAATCCTAGTTTCTTTACACTTTGCATCACTAACTGACTATTCGCTTTTGCTAAAAATTTTAGAGCTTTATCCATGTCTTTGGTTGAATAACCTAAATATTCTGCAAGTATTATTGGAGCGTTTCTTATAGGTTCTACAAAAATTGGTGATAGGGTTGTAGCACTTTGAATAATAACCTTGTCAAATAGTCTCTCATAGTTGGAAAGCAAGTGCATGTCTACAGATAATGCGCCTGAACTTTCTCCAGCTATTGTTATTTTATTTGCATCTCCTCCAAAATCTCCAATATTTCTGTGGACCCATTGTAACGCTAGCTGTTGATCTTTTAAGCCTTGATTGCCTGGTATTTCAGGGGTATCCAAACACATAAAACCGTAAGGACCAACTCTATAATTAAAACTTACTATAATAATATCCTGTTTTACTAAAAAACGGGGTCCATAAAGATTTCTGTTACCAGATCCATTTATAAACCCACCGCCGTAAATCCAGAAAAAAACTGGTAGTCGTTTAGATGGTGATGCAGAAAGAGGAACAAAAATATTGAGATTTAAACAATCTATAGAACCAGCTAGAGTATCTCTAAATTCCCTTACTTGTGAACAGATTTTGGAATCACTGTACGCTTCGAAAGTATTCTCAAATGCTGGGTATGGTTTTGCCGCCTGTGAATAAAAAGTAAAATATTATTTTAGTATTATTACTTTTATGTATTATTTTATTATACACACAAACGGGTATACAGTCACAAATATGAATTTCAAAATACCGATTTTCATAATGCCGAATGGTTTCATTGCCGATTGATCATTAATTCTATTTTGAAATTTTTGAATTATTAAAATTTCAATATTAGTAACTTTTATTATTACTGTGCTCAAAATACCAAGTTTCAATAGATCGCATAACAAAAAGTTCGACTTAATGATAATTCGAAACATCAAAAGTTCGAATTCTTTCTATTTTCTTTCGAATAAAAATATTTTCGCTGATTACAGTTCTAACCTAACTTTACCCAACAATAGACGGGATCTGACGCTCGGCGGTACCATTAAAGTTCGAAGGCGAGTCGCTCGTTCTCGCTTTAATGGTCACAGTTCTAACCTAACCTAACCCAAAGAATTCAATAACAGTGCATGCTACCCGACGCAGTTATGTATATATATATAAGGAGAAGAAGAAAATACAATATAATATTAATACATAAATATTTATAACAAAGTAGACGTTTTTAAATTAGGTACATATAACGTTACTTATAGCTTTTGAATATATATGCGTAACTGAATATTGTAGGAACTAAATCAAAATATTATACTTTCTAAGGAAAGGCCTATGTCCAGCAGTGCACTAGTAAAGGTTGTTGATGAAGAATCAGAATCAGAACCTTAATTTTAGCAGTTTATTCGAAGAATTGAAAATCGGAATGTCGTTTTTCGGACCGAGAACCCATCGAACATTTGAGACTTCGAACGTATAAAAATCGGAAAACAAACATTACAAGTCTTTATATTTTCATTTAATTCACTTAATAATAAACATTATAATTCTTATAAATTATAAAATTCGAACTTTTGAAAATCGGAACATCGAAATTAGTAATAAAATATTTCGTAGTATTTGGGTGTTCCCAATAAAAACTGTGACTTATGCTTGTAAGTAAAACGTAATCAGATGTAACATGACCTCATATAAATATTGATATCCTCTGTGAACTTCAAATAACAAATTTTAACATTTATGTACAAGTAAATATCACAACAAGAAACTTTTGCTGAGAATATTTTACAAAAATTTCTTTCAGGGATCGAATATTCAAAAGGAACACCGCATGAATCGTCAATATGTATATCTCTACAATCACATCACATCAACAGCCTTTAAAAGTCCACTGCTAGGCCTATCCTTAGAAAGGAGGTTTTGGCCTGCTTTCCCACGCTGGCCAGACTGGTTGGTATAGGGTTTGTGTCAAGTTTTCCTTCTTTTTACCGTGTTGGTGTCCTGTGTTGTTTTCCGCCCTTAGTCGGCTCTTACGACACCCACGGGATGAACAATGGATGATTACAAATTTCAAAGTGATCCCTTTTACCTTGTAGTTCGAAAATAATTAATTAATTTTATTACAAAACAATTCAAAACATGCAGAGATTGTCACTGCTTGTGACGACCTGATGAATGCTAGTGGTTAAAGCGAACAAGGGGAAGTGTTCGTGTAAAGGTAATTCCTATAAAATATCGATTCTGATCTGAGGCGCGTCGTACGCCTTAAAATGAGGTAATTAGGATTAGGTAATTAGGTGATCGATAAGGCATCGCGAATGGTCAAAATCAGAGAATCAAACTAGACTAATTTAATTCAAAATAAACTACTGTATTGATGATAGACGTCACAAGGTAGCTCATTTTGACTTAACTGTCGCGACATCAATTATAAAAGCAGAGCAGAGCAGAGTAGAGCTGAGCTATAAAGACCGCAAATCAGACACAAGCAATTGTTCCGGACAGAAAAGTGAAAACTGCATATTATAATAATATTTTATTTAATCTCATTTAGAGTTTGCTTTTGTACTTTTAGAATAACTTAGATAGTGCAAGTGTTTAACACATTACATTTACAATTTATTTGAGACAGATAAAATGTAATACTTTCATTTCATACAATCCGATTCGTACTAAATCATTCTTTCATAACTAAATTTACTAATAATACGGAAATCAGTAAACCTGGCAAATAAATACTTACTCCAAATGGATTGTCTGCATCGACTTGAGCAAACGGTATTCCAAGAAACATCAAATAATCGCCATCTTCAGCTTTTAAACCCTTTATCACACCTACACTGGTTTTAACTAAGGGGCCTACCCTTGATTGACCAAATGCCGTATGAAATAACAGTACTAAAAGTGCACATTTCTCTAAGAACATCTTCGTAACAAGAGATAAGTCGGACTGAAGAATTAAATTTCAATGTTTGACAAGACTGATAATTATAGCACAAGATAACGAGTTTAATGAAATCGTCAGTTGCGGTTCAAACCGAACGACAACAAAATTTTGGTCGCTAAACAGAAACCAGTGGTTTAATTCAATAATCAATTAAAGCTTGTATTTGTTTTATATTATACATCAAAACTTTTTATATACCTCAGCCTATGCTTGTCCACTGCTGGACATAGGCCTCTCCCAATGATTTCCAGCGGGGACGGTTGATTGCGGCCGGCATCCAACGGTTTCCGGCAACCTTTGCCAGGTCGTCCGTCCATCGGGTAAGCGGTCGTCTCACACTGCGCTTGCCAGTACAAAACAAAACTTTTTATTATCTTTTAATTTAAAATAGTTACTTCAATATTCAATTTGAGTTTAAAAGAATCAGTTTTAAATTGCAAAATGCTCTCCAATATACGTGATCTGAAGCGTGTGAACTATAACTATGAATGTCTACAAAGACACGCTGCAGATCGTAAAGGTTTATATATCACTAGCTGACCCGGCAAACGTTGTTTTGCCTTATACATTACTTCTAAAAAATATTGATAAAAAAAATTTGGGGTGGGTCACCCTTGTCATTTAGGGGTATGAAAAATAGATGTTGGCCGATTCTCAGAACTACCCGATGTTCACACAAAATTTCATAAAAATCGGTCCAGCCGTTTCGGAGGAGTATGGTTACTAACATCGTGACACGAGAATTTTATATATTGTTATCTGAATACTTAATATAAGAAGCAATAAAAATAATGTAAAAATACTTACTTCATATGTAATACCTTTAAACGATCAATTCTTGTATATAAATAATCTTCTATACAAATAAATAAAATTGGAGTGTCTGTTTGTAATATTAAAATAACCGCTTTTTACTAAATGCATATGTATGTTTACACGGTACATATGCCAAAATAACATTTTTTACAATTTTTGTCTGTATGTCTGTCTGTTTGTTCCGGGTAATCTCTGGAACGGTTGGACCGATTTCGACGGGACAAACATATTATAACAACAAACGCGGGTATCACCGCCGGTCTCAGCTAGTAACAATAATAATATATCGCTTTATTGTTCACCAGATATAATATACATATATACGACAATTACGAGTATCTTAAACTAGGTTAGTACAAGTGGCGGCCTTATCGCTCAGAGGCAACAGGCAACCGTGGTATGGAGAGAAAACATGAAGCGGTAATTATTATAATAGTTATTATTATATCGGGGCTAACACCTCGTTGAACCATGTGGTGACTTCCATGTGATGCCTTCGCCCTCACATGGATCCTCCCTTTGTGTTGGAGGGACATGGCGCCCGTTCCTCCGCAAACAACTTGGCAAGAAAATGCTTCTTTCGATGAAGAAAAAACTATCCACCTGAAATGATCAAAAATGATCTGTATTTTTATGTATACAACACACATAAACACACAGATAATTTTTGATTATTTTAATAGTTCCTACATTACGACGGGCCTGTTGGTCTAGTGGTTAGTGACCCTGACTGCTAAACCGGAGGTCGTGGGTTCGATTCCCACCCAGGACAAATATTGTGTGATGAGCACGGTCATTTGTTCTGTGTCTGGGTGTAATTTATCTATAATATGTATGTATTTAGAAATATATAAGTATGTTTATCAGCGGTCTGGTTACCATAGCACAGGCTCTGCCTAGTTTGGGATCAGACGGCCGTGTGTGAGTGTGTGAGATATATTATTATTATTATTATTATTATTAGGTACCTTCGTAATTAGTTATATAATATGGCTCTCGGTCCGAAATAAATCTTTACCTATAGTATAAATACAAAAGTCAGTTTGTTTGTTTATTACGCTTTCAAGCCTAAACCATTTTAAACTGACCGACCGACCGATTTAAAAAAATATTTTACTAATGTAAACCTACATCATCAGCGAGTAACACAGACTACTTTTTATCGTGATAACCAATATATATACGCGGGCAGAGCCGTGCGGGAGCTAGTAAAAAAAAACCCATAAAAAACTGTTTTTTTTTTTAAATCAAAAATACCTGTGACTGATGAGAATATTTATTTTGCGATTCTATCTGGCATCGTATTTAAAACTTAATCTCAAGAAACGTAAAAAATTAAATGTCACAGATCTCATGCTACAGAATAGTAGTCTTGTTCTTATTTATATGCATTTTTTCAGGTATAAACAAATAAAGTATCATTATCGTTGTGTGTCGAATGTCCATAATATTATTACATTGTTATAAACAGCTATTTGAATAGGTCGGACTTTATCTTATGCTTATCATAGAATGCACAACAAATGATACAAAAACTGGGGCGACGGCAGTGTGCCGAGGAAATCGTGCAAAATAAAAGCAAAGTACAGTCCTTTTCTTGAAACCATTCCGGGTATTTTCGATTCTCCTGTAATTTTGCCGTGATTAAAGGTGGAATTTCACTGACTGATAAGATATCACATAAATCAGTTTAATCCTAAATTTCATGCACACCAAACTTTCAGTTTTAAAAATATTACATGTCAAAATTTATAATTTTGCCACTCAATATTCACTTTATTGCTTCATTGATAATAACAATTAAAGTGGTAACAATATAATGGCAATTGTCACAAATAAATAATGTAAGGAAAAAAAAGAAAAGAGAACAGTATATTTTCTTCCTTCTGATTTTTTATTTATAGTGTCTCGTCTGTCTGATCGAATGTTTTCTATTCTATTCCTTTTTTTTTTCTATTTCTACTAACTGCTGTCTGTCTGTCGAATATGATGTAAGCCATTCATGGGCCGTACCACGTATTCCGATTCTATATAATATCATCAGCCCATCGCAGTCCACTACTGGACATAGGCCTCTCCTAATGCGGCGTGCATTAGGAGAGGCCTGGATACTTAGATCGATTTTGGGCTTCTCGCATCCAGCTCCTGCCAACTATCTTGGCCAAATCATCACTCCACCTGGCCTGTGGGCGTCCTACACTACGTTTGCCAAGACTCGGTTTCCACTCAAGAACTCGTTTTCCCCAATGGTTGTCGGTTCTGCGGCTAATATGGTCAGCCCACTGCCACTGCCTGCTAATCCGGTAGGCTATGTAGGTGACCTTGGTTCTCTGCCGGATCACCTCATTCCTGGTGCGATACCTTAGAGAAACCCGAGCATAACCCTTTCCATAACACGTTGAGCGAATTTAAACTTGTGGACCAGCCGTACCGTATTTAATATATTTAGTAATATTTTAAATTGCCTTAGACATGTGCAGTAAATTTTCTATTGCATATTGCTTTTTATTTAAGACGTCTAGGGCTTTCTGAATGTATTTAGATAAAGCCAGGGTAGTCGATTTGTTTTTACGAAAACTACTTTTGGCACTACCAAGATCATTAAAGATTTAATATTTTTTGCAAAATGAATAAATGCGGTTACTCAAGGCCTTTTCAATGAACTTAGAGACTGTAGGTAGGAGAGCGATTGGGTGGTAATTATCAGGTTTAGTTTGGTCATTTTTTGTGGATCGCTTTAAATAAGGCCTGTTTTAATAGATCCGGAAATACACCTTTTTCAGATGATTAGATAATTAGCTTATAAAAAGGTAATGTTAGTTCATCAGCGCAGTATTTTACTAGAACATGTGGGATTGCGTCTATACCATGTCGTTTCTTGTTTTTAAGAGATCTCATTAGGAAGTTATTAATTAATTTACCAAGTTATCGTCTGCGGTATTTCCGAACCGGTACGAGCTTTAAACCTTCAAGAAAAGAGCGTACTCGTAAAAGCCAGCAACGCGCTTCTGACTACTGTCTTGACCGTCTGCTCCTTTGAATCCTCTTCCATGTATATATTTTTTAATTTTATATGATAGATAGATAATGAATTTAACTTTTAGTTTAGATACTACAGTACAATCCCTAAATTTAAAAAGCAGTGTCTTTGAATAGCATTGTTCGAAAACATTACATAAAAAACAAGTCTCGCAAGTAACAATGCCGATGCCCCCCATCGAAAAGTTTGAAGATGTAATTATTACTTAATTTGATATCTTCCACACAATACACAGAAGGGCATATCATGCCATAGTAATAAAAATAACATGCCAATCTCAACGTTTAAAGAAATGTTGAGATTGTCGAGTTTATGTACATCGCTAGGCCAATAGGGCTATAAAAATAGTTATTGTGGCATTGAAGAACGATTGGATTTTACAGCTTTATGCGACAGAAGAACTACGTTGCGATTTTCGAGACTTGGCTTTTAATATGATTTTTTAATGTTTTCATTTTGATGATGTTTGTAAAGGCAACGGTTTTGATAGGATAATATGCAGCTTTGATCGAAAAATAGTACATTTAAACTTCACACTGACAGTATGTAATCAATATCAATGGATACAATCCTATTACTACTACTATACTATACTATTTCTTACGTGGTATTTTTTACAAAAATAACTTTTGATCCTAATTAGGTAATGGACTTATTTGTATGTTTTAGTGGCTTCAAAAGTCAAGGTTCATTTGATATAGCAGCGTTTACCAGATATTTATCATTTTAATGTCAACAAACTTTGTCAGTAACTATTGCTTGTTACTCGTTAATGTCAGAATTTACATGTCAATGATAAAGAGTAACTTCACCTTCCACCACTTCACTTCACACACACATGTGAAGTGAAGTGGTGGAAGGTGAAGAGGTGTGTACCACTTCACACAAATATCAACGACTTCATTGTGCCTTAACAATAACAAATTTTGACTTTTTTCTGGTATAGGGGACAATCGAGCAGACGGGTCACCTGATGGTAAGGGACTACCGTCCTAGCACCCTTTGAGTCACCTCTCCCCATAATCAGAGAAAGTGGTAGGACTCCAGTAACCTCACTTGGTGAAAAGCAACGAAACGAAACGAATGGCTTAACACCGGTTTTTTGTGAGCTTTGGTGTCACTCCGGTCGAGACGGGCAATTTGTGCCGAAGTGTTGCTCTCCCACGGTATATGTATGTAAGAGTATGGAAACATGGTTTTCCTACGGTATATGTATGTAAGTGTATGAATATGTATATGTGTTATTATGTATTTTTTTATTCTTTGGCATACCAATAGTAACAGTATACTCTGTGTAAAAGGTCCCTCGTTGTACCGTTTTTTTATTTTTGTTTGAACAAAGTTCCTTGTCGCGGGTTACACGCTCATAGCGGATGGGAGCGAGACCGAAATATGTGCAACAAGACTGTTTACCGAAACTTCTTGCTATAGTTACAGACGTTAAAGAACTATATATATATATATATATATATATACATCGCCGCAAATAGCTCTCACACGCGCCATATCAACTTATTTTACTACATTCAGTGTTTAATTTATAATTATTTATTTTATAAGTAATAAATATATCTTATCATCCATTTTTAGCTTTATTAACTTGACATTTTATAATATAAATGTAATGACTAGCAAACATCTACCAAAAAGCGAAAGGAACTTTGATCCGTTGGGGGGTCCAATGACTCTTTACGCCGTTTTTTTTATATTCTACATTGTATGTTACCAAATCATTGTGTGAAATTAAAAGTACATATATATTTTATAATAAGTATATTATTACAAAAAAAGTATATCCGTATTTATATCAGTTGTCTAGTAGCCATAGCTTTGCTTAGTTTGGGACTAGATGGCGTTGTGGTAGATAATTATTAATGTTAATTGTAACAGAATTGCATCATCATATGTTACACTGTATCGTAATGAATGCGACTCAGATTTTACGGATGTAATTGCAAGTGTTGTAGGGCCGTACCAATGCGAGCATTTTTCAATTTTGGCTGTACACCACCTGCGAGAACTCGTGCAATATTAATACTCCGGCGATTTGTACTATGTAATGTTAGGCTAAGAGCTTGTATGTTTTAATATGTAGTTGTTTGAGTTTTTAATATTGTAATACTGATGATATTCATTCCAATGGAAATGTACTTAAGTTCATAAAATATAACTTTTCAAATTTAATAAATAATCTCCTAGTACAAGAAAGTCTTAAGAAATTAGTATTGCAGCCTTTTATTGATTATGATATTATATTTGTAAATAATGATCGTAGTAAAATTTGAAAAAAAAAACAAACAGAGAAAGAGAGATCCGAAAATAATTAAAAAGTAATGGGGTTAAATACTAAATTCAGTGAAAACACAAAATATAAAACGAACTCAAAGTCAAAACCAATAATCTTAGTACACCAAAGGTTAAAATGATAACATTGTCTGATTTATTACTATTAACAAATTTATGTCTTCTCATGTCGTTCTGTTCTAAATTTTGGAGTATAAACATTAAAGATAAGGTAATATTAATAACTAGAGACACCTTATACCCACCGTCTGATCACATGGTATAGTATGGTAATAAACTTCTAATAAACATTCTTCTCCTCTTATGTATGTAGTTTCTTCTCCTGGATGAGTGTCCGATTCTCACAGACCTCACACATGACCTCTAACTCAGCGGTCTGGGTCCTATCTATCTGCGTGCCAGTTAGATTTAGGGTCAGAATTTACTGAACTCTGCCGTCTCCTTCTGCGAACAAGTTATGCTCGCGAAGGAGACGGCGGAGCGGGACCGGGAGAGGTTTAGGACTCTCCCGGCCCGCCAGGCCCGGGAACGTAGCCCCTAGCAGAAGCAGGCCGGGTTGGCGACGAGCGCGTTGCGCGCTCGCTTCCAGGGAGCACAGGGAACATGGGGTTCCCACACGAGGGGGGGGGGTCGTCTACTCGTCTGTAGATGACCCGAGGTATGTCGTGGCACCAGGGAGTTCCTTTCTAGGGTATACCTGTTTCCCCGGCTATTAGCACCCGAAACGGCGTGCGGTTTTAGTCGGTTCGAGTCTGACATGCCACCGACAGGTGGTATCCGAGGGGATTTCCGCACGGAAAAAAAAGAGTCAGAATTTACTAAGCGTTAAACTGATTTAAATAAAATTTAAAACTAAAATTTTATCCATAGCTCCTAAACTTGACATCGTAAATGGAATTCCTACATAGGTATTGCCGCCGCAACTTAAAACGGCATGAAAGGTAAAACATTAAATTAATTTCAAAAGTTTTTGTTTTACACATGAATTTCATCAAAAAATGTTTTGTCTTGTACGAGTATGAATGAATTTATAAAACAAAATTTGCATTTTCACTCTTCTATTTATAACATTTCGTTTCACCGACAAGCCTATTTCTTTAATTTTAAATAATCTTTATCCTGCATTTAATTGGTCAAAAATGAACCTTATCTTTTAAATTACCGTTATTGCTTTCTCAAATATAATCAGTGAACGTACGAGTATCTACGTTTTCATTAGTTCGTATTCATAGTTTAGTTTTACAGAATATTGCTTATAACTGTTTCTCAGGCGCTATTCATGATTTTAATATTTCATTTATTTTATGGTGCTGAACGTACGCCATCCTGCCCTAATATCATTTTCCCATTCTTCGTCTTATGGTTGCCTGAAAAAGATTGATACAGTGCGATAAGGTAGCCAATTTTATTTGCTGCCTAGTACTGCAGTTACTCTTTGTAATATCTTTGGTTTTTTCGTGTAAATTTCATAAAAAACATTTCATTTTTAGTTTAGTATCACCTAGGAACCGTAATATTTTGAAAACCTGATCACGAGTTAGTCTACCCTCAATATTACCGGCGGTATACTGGTAACTTTTGTAATGTTGCAATGCTTTGAAGATATTGGGGAGAGGGGGGGAGGGGGGGTTGGGTAATCGTAGTATCAGATGCGTATCACTATTTCGTCGTATATGTCATACTTTGTTCAGTTGATTGTTATTTGGAGGCGTATGGCGAATACCCATAATTGCATTTTAACACATTTTACCCTAACTGCAATCAAAAAATGAAACACTCTTTGATTGCAGGTAGGGTAGGGGTTAGGATAGAAAGTGTTTCACTCTTTGATTGCATTTGATTATAATATATATTTAAAAAAGTTATAGCATTTCCGACAACAGCGCATTCTCTGCTTGCTATTATTATTTTAAAGGCTCATCAATTTTCATTTGAATTCTTTAAGCAGTTAAGTTTAGAAAGCCAGGGTAAAAGAATCGCGAGTGGAAACCTGAACTAGAACAGAGACTAGGACAGCTGAAGAAGCCTCAGTGGCGCAGTGTATAATATGTATTTATTTACAAAAAAGACAGTATTCCATCAGTCAGTCTAGCTTTCATAGTACAAGCTCTGCTTATTTTGAAACTAGATGGCATTGTGTGTCAAATGTCTGAATAATATTTTATATTATTATTTGTACACGGTGTATGTCTGAGATTTGTGACGCCACTAGACCTAGGAGAACACCTAGCCATACCGATTACTTCATACAAATGGGTAATGATTAACTGCAGCTGACGGATAATTCTTTTCGTATTTTCGTGGACCACGAGTAGGGTAATCTTTAATTGTTTGTACGGAATACAAAAATGATTTAAAAAATATATTTTTACTTAAAACTAATTATAGAAAGGAGGTATACGTATTATAAAAGAATACGACAGTTGGCAAACTTTTGTAGGGAGATATATTTATGGCAAATAAGTGCACAAGGTAATATATTCTTAGCCATAATTATACTCATATGGACATTTGGCCTAGTGTTCGATGTTTTAACATTTTCTCTAATTAATTTTAAATTTATGGAGGATCTGCCAACTGACGACTATCTTTGTTTTATAACCTAGTTCATTGATCACTTAATTAGATTATTTTAAGTAGTGAGCACCCATTCTTTTGACACCCATTCTTTTGACTTTACATTACTTCATTTTCTTCAACACATACAGATACTTTAATTTTGTATGCATTTACATATTACACATGTAAACACCCACACACAAAAAACGGGGATCAAACTTGTCACATGACCTCAACCATATTTTGGATTACTTAATTTTTCTGAATATTTTCTTTACAGCACAGTGTCATCTGTTTTGTTTTTGTCGGGCACTTTAGTTCCGATAGCTTCTGCTTCTGTAACCGTATCCGGTAATGAAATATTGGCAACATCCGAAACTGAGAAAGTCAATAATCCTGCTACTATTGATACAATACCAAATATTAACGATGGCAGGCCATCCCAGTAGACTGCCTGAAAATAAAAAATAATTTAAGTATTGAGAAACCGAAAGAAATACTGTTAAAAATACTCGTTTTTTTTGTTAACTGTCACACATATGTAATTACATCCTAAGCAGTGCAAAACAGATATATTTAGGTATATAAATACATGCTCTGAGTGGGATCGAACACGAAACCCCAGGCAAGCAACGGAGGTTTTCATACATATATTAGCTACTAGTAAAAATATGGCCAATTATTTCTATTAACTCCTAAATGAATTAGGTTAAAAAACATTTAGTTCAAACCATTTATTTCATTTAGTTCGAACCTTTAGTTCAATATAAAATAAATTTAATAAAACATATAATTTTACCAAAAGCGGAGTCTGCGGTGCAACAATGGAACCGATCCTGCCTAGTGAAGAGCATATAGCGTGCATTGAGTTTCTCGTGTAAGTTGGGAACAACTCTGAGGTGTATATATATGTTATATTGAAGTATAAAGACGCCATCAACTTTCCAATCATAAACATTAATAGCGAGAGCCAGGCTAATTCTGAAACAAAGTTACATGTAGTTGACATCAACAGTATTGCGCTTACTTGAATATTTAATAAACCCTTAAAATAATTTTACATTTCGATCAAACATTTAATAAGATAACAACGAATAAGGTTTCAATAACCAGGTAGAAAGTTCCATATTACGTCGATAGATAGGTTTGCAAAAATCATTTTCTCTAGACACTACAATCTCTAAGCCAATCATTACATTATGACGTGAAAAGATCATTATCAAAGTAAACTATTGAAACTGTTGAAAAAAAAACAAAGTTGACTGCACGGATGGCGTAGTGGTTTAAGCGGTCGCCACGCCGCTTCCTACTACACCGAGTGTTGTGGGTTCAAACCCCACATGGGACGACACTTTGTGTGATCCACAAATTGTTGTTCTGAGTCTGGGTGTTCTTTGTGTCCGTTTCATGTATGTTTGTAAAGTCCCCCGCGACACAGGATTTATTCCTGATGCGGGAGTTGTCTTTTTTTTTTTAGAAAAAAAAAGAAAGAAAACTAATAACACAGACATTCACTGACTAATAAAATATATCATCAATCATCATCAACAGCTTTAATTAGTCTACTGCTGGACATAGGCCTCTCCTTAGAAAGTTGGGCTACTATACCACGCTCTGGCAAGACGGGTTGATATAGGGTTTGTATCACGTTTTCCTTCTCTTTGCAGTACTGTTGTCCTGCGTGGTTTGTTCCTTTAGTTGGCTCTGACGACACCCACGGGTAAACATACGTTTAAGCTTAAAATAAATTTAAGATACAAATTGCTTACTATTGGGTAAAAAGGGCTGTCCAATACAAAATAATCCAGCCAAGAAAAATGACCCAATCAAAGGATACTTTCGCCGATAGTTCATCAGCACATACATTGCTAAAAAAATCCCAGGAACTTCAGTTATAGCTACTAAAGCATAATTTATGTATTTATCTCCTTGTAGTAAAACTGATGTGATTGACATCCCGTAGTTAACGAACGTTGATGTCATCCACCAAACAACACACACTAACAACCTTTGAATCAAAGTTCTGGAACTAAATGTGTTTTTCAAAACTGCAAAAAATTTGATATCTTCTTTTTTCTCAACCTCACAAGCAAGTTTTTCTAATTCATTCTCTTCCATCGTTATTTTGTTTTTCTTTGCCATTTTTTCTATTATCTTTACTGCTTGTGCTTTTTTACCTTTTGATAATAACCATCTTGGGCTTTCGTCTATCAGAAAAAAATAAAAGAAGAATAGTAACGCCGGTGAATATAGTACTCTCAAATAGTTACGCCAATATGGTAATAACCAAGCTATTAAAGCTATGTATACAGCCCCTACACAGTATCCAATGTTAGCTATTGCGAAGTACGGGACCCTTTGCGTGTTGGTAACGATTTCAACGTCTGTAAAACCAAAACAAGTTTAAACATTAATAAGCAGTAAATGGTTTTTAAACAATATAATATTCTTTTAAAGAAATGCAATGTACACCACATTGCATTTCTTTAAAAGAATTATTTCCTTATTAACAATTATTATTTCCTTATTAATTATTTCTTTATTTGAAAATTATGTATATTTATTCTAAAGGAATTAATGTTGGTTTGTCATATTTAACTAATTGTCACGAGAACTTTTAATATCACGATACAGGTTTAGTTACTTACATAGTAACTAAACCTTGCATAGTAACTAAACATGACATGGCAACATGAAATCCTACATATTTTTTTTTTACCTTAAAGTAATTTGTTTAAAGTGTTTTAAACTTACTTAGTATATAGGCGGGTGAATAAATGTCCCCAAAGGCCGATTCAAGGAACTCTAGCACAATGTACACCCAATATGATGTAGCAAAACTCTTGGCTATGCCCAGGATGCCGCCCAGCACTCCGGTGATTACTATCATAGGCTTTCTGCCAATCCTAAGGGAAGATTTTTATGATACATTATTATCTTTTATATCCCAATTTGCCAAAGCTGTTGTTTCACAATCCATTCTAAAAGCCGTCTGTACAAACAAAATTACATTCATTTTATTTTAAAATACCAAAATTCTTAAAATTTCCTATATTTAATTTTAAAAGTAATCGGTTGCCTCTATTGCGATGACTTGGGGCAAATTATGTTTGGCAAAATATGAGAAATATTTTATTACAAGAAACCTGCCTACTACTTAAAATATGAATTTGTAAGATATGAGTATATCTAATGTCAAACAATCTTATAATTCATAAGAAGATGATATGTCTTCAAAAGTATTTCAATACATTTTTAACTGCACTGATGGCGTAGTGGTTTAAGCGGTCACCTCGCTGCTTCCTACTGCACTGGGGGTTGCGGGTTCGAACTCCACATGGAACAACACTTTGTGTAACCCAAAAATTGTTGTCCTGAGTCTGGGTGTCCTTTGTGTCCGTTTAATATATGTTTGTAAAGTCCCCCGCGAGGTAGGATTTATTACTAGTGCCTGAGTTGTCTTGTTACATAAAAAAAATACCGTTATTTCTTTATAATCACTGAGCTGACTATGCTGCTTGCAGAATATTGAAGATACGTGTACAAGTTAGGCAGTCACATTTTTAAGACTAATAACTGATTAATATTATTATAATTTACTTACCGATCAGATAAGGGGCCAACAAATAATAAACCAAGCATATATGCCAGACTATGCACGGTTCCCACCAACGTTCTCTTCCAATCTTGACATGCTAACTGAAACTAGATAATACGGATAGGTTACTTTTGAGACATAGTTTAAATTACCATTCAAATAAAAAAATACTTATAATTATTTAATAATAAAAGTAATATTTTCGGACGTCTAACACACAACGCCATCTAGTTTCAAACTAAGCAAAACTTGTTCTATGAAAGATAAATTGACTGATAGAATACTTAAATAGTTTTTTTCGTAAATACATACATAGAAAACACCCAAACTCCGAAACAAATATTTGCAGATCATACAAACATTTGGCCCGACCTTGTAATCGAATTCGAGACCTCAGCACAGCAGTCGCATACGCTACCACTGCACCACTGAGACAGTCAAAATTTAAAATAAAAACGTCCTAATCCTACCCTTATTAAAAGCTGATATATGAAAAAGAACTGGTCAAGTAATTTTGTCATTCTTTACAGCACTGTCGCAGAAAGGTTACTTTGAATTAATTAGGCGATGAAAAGAAGTTATAAAGAACAATCCAAAAAATACCGAAAAGCTACTGTTGTAATCGGTCAGTGCTGCACTGACCGATTACAACACTAGTACTTTGACATTGACCACGTAACCTAGATTGAATTATGGAGGTCAAGATTACAAATTGCCCACGCGGAGGCCCGTGACGGATCCTACCACCTACGTACGATAAGGTAAAGAGTCATTATTTTTCGTAGTTCAGATAACGAACAAGCATCAAAGACAACAAGAAGCTACCTTCTCAGCTACCTACATTTGTACATATGTGCGATATCGTAGCTGCTTAATATTATGTTGATTATGCCAACTACGGACTACTTTATCGGACATATATATTAGAATATTTTTTTATGGAAAAACAAGAAGATAACACAAACAAAAAAAGTTATCTTCTTTACGAAGCAGGATTAGTTTGTTGCGTAATATGGAATGTTTGTGTCATGTAGATATCTTTTTATGTCTATCTCTAAATTCACTTACTTTTTACTTATAATTCTTCTTTTGTGTCTGCTTCATCATCATCATCAACAGCCTTTACTAGTCCACTGCTGGACATAGGCCTCTCCTTAGGAAGGAGGTTTCACATGTTCATAATAATAAAAATATATTCTACCACATTCACAAAACGCCATCTAGTCCCAAGCAGTGGACTGTTAAAGGCTGTTGATGATGATGATGATATAATGAACATGTAATGTTTGATTTGGTCTGAGTGTTTCTATGTATAATATTTATGTATTTACAAGAAAAGTAAATCTATTTATATCAGTTGTCTAGTACCCATAGAACATGCTCTGCTTAGTTTGGGGTCTGGATGGCGTTTTGTGAATGTGGTAGAATATTATTTTTATTATTTGTAGCCTATAATCATTCAAAACAGTTGAACTCACAATTTAAACTTACCTATAAATAAATAAGAAAAGATTGAACAAGATAATTAAAGCAACAGATATCAGAAGTATTTTTTGAATCTTACAATAAACGTTTTGTACGAGTATTTAAGCAAAAAAATTTAAATACTTACTTCGGCAACAAAACTATTAGAGTTCTCATAAATGAATTCCGCACACTTCTTTGAATTTATAACACCGCATGTATTGTTGATAAAATCTGCGTCTGCGCATCTGTAAAACGATAAGTTTCTGTAATCCTGCCTAATATTTTGAAAGCGAGAGTGAATTTGTGTATTTACATTTTCACGGCTTTACTGGTCATCCGATCATCACAACGTTTTTCATATCTTTATGGATATGCAAAAGTCAGTACAGAAAACAACATAAAACACCTTTCATTCAGTTAAAAATATAGTTACTACCAGATTTAAACGCAACACTCATAAAGTGGGTGCGGGTTATGACGTTAGTGCGGCGGGTCTAATTTTTATATAGAAGACAATACACTAAAAACTCGTGCTCGGGTTGTGTTCCATGCAAGGAATTAGACCCAACGCAAACCCGTCCCGACCAGGGCGTAATCCGCACCCGCTTTATATGTGTGTAGCGCTTTAATCGTCCACATAATTGGTACAGCTCGACCGGAGTGATACCACGGCCTCACAGAAAACCGCTTTTCACCGACTAATTGTGGTTACCAGTGTTAACTTACACTACATTTAGTCGACTATTTACTCGTAGACTCTATACCGATACTCGATAATGACAACTTGTATTAGTACTAAGATGGTATTTTTACATTCACTCGTTCGTTCTCCAGAGATAATAAAAACAGCAATACGGGTTGGCAGTTGGTATTCGATTTAATGGACACTTGTGCTGTAACCGTTGTACTGTGCGGATTAAATCTCTTAATAGTTACACAATCTCCTGTTATTTACGTGAACCTGACCCGACTCCTTCATCTCAGAAGTGGGATTGAACAGGTTGGTACTATATTTTAGGCGGAAGCGCTCACATTGTAAAAAAATTGTTGAAGTGCGATTTTATAACGTTAAAATATTTAAAACCTACCTTCATGGAAAACGAATACCTAACACCTCAGGAAACGGGAAACTCTCGTGCTTCCCGTTCGAGAAAAAGGAAACACGGTCGTGATAACAATAAAGTGACAGTGTATTCTAGTGAAAAGAAAAGAAGAAGCCATAAAGACACTCCTAGCAGGAAATCTACGGATACGGAAAATTCGTTGCAAAGGAGCAGGCGTGAACGAGAACGTAGTAGTTCGCTATATCGTAAACACCGTAGGAGTTCCCGTAGTCGTACCCGTCATCATGTGAATCACCGGCGGCGCCGCAGGAGTCCCAGTGGCGATACCAGTGGTCGTGAGTCTCACAGGCGACATCACGAGCACAGCCGACTGAGTCGGGCTGATGTACACAGTTGCAGAGGACTCAGTACACCACGTAGGCGATCTAACTCACCGGTAAGACGTTCCAATAATAGTAATAATAATGTGACTCATATGCTACTGACCCAATTAGTGAATACTTTAGTTAATAATCGCCCCGAAAGTAATAAATTCCCGATGTTGGGTAATGTGGTGCCGGATTTCGATCCGATGGTTAAAGGCCAAACAATACAGATGTGGCTCAATAAGGTTGATGAATGTGCAAAATTATACAAATGGGGTGACGATCAAATCATACACTATGCGATGCCCAAATTATCAGGCGTTGCTAAGACTTGGTACCAAACATTACCTACTATGTCCTTTTCTTGGCCTGAATGGAAAAATAAATTATCAGAATCATTCCCTAGTACCGACGATTATGCGGAGCTGTTAATAGAAATGTTATCCAAACGAGTTAGATATAATGAATCTTTAGAATTGTACTACTATGATAAAATTAATTTGCTACACCGTTGCGATATAAAGGGTAAGCGGGCAGTCGATTGCTTACTATACGGAATAGATGATCGTTCGCTAAGATTAGGCGCTAAAGCATTGAAATGTCAGGAACCTGAAGAAGTCTTAGAATACTTTCAATCGACTAAACAGTGTCAGCGCGAATCAGATCAAACGTGGTTTAATGACAAAGGAACCAGTGCATTGTCACACAATCCCAATTATAAAACGGCTACCAATGATTCAAGGCCTAAAACTAGTTCTAGTTCTATCGTCTGTTACAATTGTAATGAACCCGGTCATTTTAGTACTAAGTGTACGAAGAAAATACTGAAATGCAACATTTGTAAAAGATTAGGGCATACAACTTTAAGTTGTACTAAACTACCCTCTGATAGCAGCAACAATAGATAAGGAACATGTGGGCAAATCAAAGAAACTAATATCAAAGTTTCATGGCCCATACCGCATTAAGAAAATTTTCGCGAATGACAGGTTTGTAATCGAAGACACTCCTTTGACTAGGCGAGGTAAAAATAAATATGAAAATTTTGTGGCGATTGACAAAATTCATCCATGGTTGAGTTTTAAGAATATGTCTAGTGAGGGAAGCGAAAGTGACAATAGCGGTGATGATAACTCGCTCCTAAATTAATTTAAAATAAGGGACTTGTACGATTAGTAGTGTTTGTGTGATAATGAAGAGTTAATCTACCTATATGAATGAAAAAGTTATTTGATTTAGTTTCATCAATTAGCTGATGGAATGACTAAGACTACGTAATTACGCATAGGCTACAGGCAATCGGTGCAGAAACGAATGGTATCGGAAGCCGATATCGCACAGATGATTGCAGATTGTAGCAGATCATGTGTGACATAGACATGACTAGTAAGTACTACGCATAGGCCATAGGCAATGAGTGCAGAAGGAGAATGGTATCGTTGAGCGATATCGCACAGATAATTGCAGATCATGGCAGATCATGCGTGAGTTGACATTACTACGTCTTTCATAGATATGAACGGTCAGTGCAGACAGTGAATGTTGTCAAGCAATTGACATCGCACAGATGACCGCAGATGTGAGTAGCATACCAGACACACAGTATTGTCACACAGTATGATTAAGTGAAGTAATAGGAAAGTATAATGAAAAGAAGGGAAATTATAAGTAAATAGGAAGTATTGTCATGTAATTAGTTTCAAGTTATACATTTAAAGCTAATATCAACTATTGATTACCCTATACATTGTCAAATTACAGTTATTGTCGCCATAATCAAAATTTAAATTATGAGCAAAGTGAGAGGACTCACTTTATTAAGGATGGCCGAGCTGTTAACTTACACTACATTTAGTCGACTATTTACTCGTAGACTCTATACCGATACTCGATAATGACAACTTGTATTAGTACTAAGATGGTATTTTTACATTCACTCGTTCGTTCTCCAGAGATAATAAAAACAGCAATACGGGTTGGCAGTTGGTATTCGATTTAATGGACACTTGTGCTGTAACCGTTGTACTGTGCGGATTAAATCTCTTAATAGTTACACAATCTCCTGTTATTTACGTGAACCTGACCCGACTCCTTCACCAGCGGCCTTAAACCTTTTTTATCGTGATCAGTGGGGAGTACTAAAAGGACGGCACCAGGCGTTGGCAACAGCTTACCATCAGTAAATCCTTCTGTCTGTTACCTCCCTATTCCGTAAAGCGAATGTTACGGCGTTATTTACCAGTTGATTTAATTACTCATTTTCTGAATTGAACTTCGTATTAAAAGACAACTTCCGTACTTAGAAAATATCGTGTACTGCGAGGGGCTTTACAAAGAACACTCATAGACTTAGAACAACAATTTGCAGATCACACAAAGTGTTGTCCTGTGTGGGGATCGCACCCATAACACAGCGTAGTAGAAAACGACAGGCTGACCGCTTAAAACACAATGTCATACGTGCAGTTAAACTGATTACAAAGTACCTAATAGAATACCGAATTATCATTCCGGTTTCTGTAACTGGTTAATGAATGAACAGAGCTAAAGATCAATCAATATCAATTTCTACAGTCAAACCTTAATGTGTGTTTTAGTTTACAATAAAGTTTTGTCCACGGTTTCAATTGGATTCTGTTAAATAATTCAGCTTTGTTTGAATGGTGAGCGATTAAGAATACGGAGTGTCACCACCCCTGTTCATCCCGATGGTATCGTAAGAGCCTACTAAGAGAGCAAACTATGCAGGACAACAGCACCACAAAGGGAATGAACACTTGACACAAACCCTATACCAACACGTATGGCCAGCGTGGTATGGCAGGCCAAAACTTCCTTTCGGCAGTGGACTATTAAAGGTTGTTGAACACTTCCACTTATTACTAAACGTTGCTATCATCTGTTTGTTTATGATTGTCTAAGTAAATGCAGTGTTTAATTAACGCCGTCGATTGAAAGGTGCTGACTTGAAGTGTGGGAGGCCAACGACCATTTGACAACTTGGCAATCTAGTTCGTAAGGGATAAAGGTAGTGATACCGATTAATATTATCGTTACACAGCTTAATTTTAAATAAAAAATGTTGTTCTGATTTCTGATGTTAAAGTTTCTCTTCACGAGTTGATCTAAAAGCGGTAGTTAATTCGTTATAGAAATGACAATTAAAAAAAATCTGGGACACTATTACTAATTACTTACATTAAGTAATACATATCATTTATCAAAAATGAAAATATATTTATTGGAATTACTAACTTTCTGATATATTTCACAATAGGAATACATCGGCTTGCATAGAAAGAATCCATTGACAATTTAACTTTTTTTTTATTCTTCAAATCAACCTTAAAGTTGACGTCATGCTCTCGTATTTTATTCAAAAAACCGTGTCTATCGTCTTGACGTTTAACAAATAGACACTGATTGGACTCGAAAGTTATATACCCCATTAAGATTTTTAATATGTCGTTGGTTCTCGTGCCGTCGAAATTATGTATAATACGTTTTTAACGACTTTCTTTAATCTTTATTTCATTAGTTCATTACTTTAAATATGCGTACCCATTGTAGACAGTCCTACAAAATAATTCTTCATGTTTTGTGTAACTGTATAGGAATGTTATTATGGGTTTTTCGCTTATCAAGTATTATCGTTAATTTTCAATTCACATTTTCCTCATAATTAGCGTGACCCGCTTGGATATGCTACATTGTATTTGGATTACAAATAATTATTACCTATTTTACAATTCACAAATGGTTTTAAATGATTACGGGATTAGGATGTACAGCCCACTATAAACACATACTATTTCTAAATTAATTATTCAAATAAAATAATTTTGGGTAAAAGATTTGAGTGGATAATTTTTATTTTTAATAACGAAAGAGGGGGCTTGCTATTCTGTTATTTCGTTCAGGAACCAAAATTTTATTAAGGCACAGATAATCCAATTTGTGGCGATCTTATAAGATATAATCTATATAATATATCTATCTACTAGATAACAATATCTAAATTTTATCAGAAACATATGTGTAAGATAGTTCTACTGCTTAAGTGTTTGTTAACCTCATATTATCTGAATGTATGCTTGAATGTCAATATAAAAACTATATAAATATTTAAAAAACAATAACTGACTAAATAACTAAGTTTATTAGTTAAAAGTACTATATATTGAAGAACCAGATTTCAGCACCAGAACGGTTGAATTAGATGACAGTTTTTATTGGATTAAATCGGCAGCATAATTCTTTGGTTGCCTGGAAGAAATTGCATTTAGCAATAAGCCTTTGTACACTCGATATTTGATCGTTGTGTTCCTTTCTTGAAACTCTGTAATTTAGTGTGCAAATGAAGAGATATCTATCTATCTTTCTTTCTATTTATTGTGTCTTTGTGTTTTTGGTTTGTAGATTTTTTTGTTTCCTTTATTTTTTATGTACCCTATGAATCTTGTGATTGCAATAAAGTTTTATTATTATTATTAATTAACTGCATTAACATCTGTGACTTTGGCTATTTATTTAACTGCATTAACATCTGTGACTTTGGCTATTTATATTACTGGCTTATATTATTATGCGTGGGGATTTTTAATTATAGGCAACTACAGTCGGAGCGTTACAATTTACAAATTGTAAATTGTAACGGAGTGGTACCCAAGAGATGGTAAAAGAAACAAAGGGCGACAAACTAAAAGATGGGAGGACGATATAAAAAAGGTGGCTGGTCCAGAATGGTTCCGAATAGCAAAAGACAGGGCGAAATGGAAATCTTTGGAAGAGGCCTATGTCGAAAGACAAGCTGTTTTTGTACCGAACGTCGATATACGAAGTTAAATATAAGTAGGATAACATTAATTAAAAAAATAATAATTAGGTAGTTCATTAAAGTCAATATTATGTAAGTTTAAACAGCAATTAAGGCTAATTTTATTTTATTTTAATTTTTACAGTCGGAGGCCTATCTTTCATTCCAGTTTTTCTATATTTCGCATCTAGATTTTCGCCCTATTCGATTTCCTTGAACCAATTTAACAATTTTTATTATCCTGTCCCAGGGAGTGTTGATGTTACGTAGAAAGTCGGCCATAATAGAAACCAGCCCTAACCAGATCCCAAATAAAAATAGGAAAAAAAACTGAAAGATGATGATCAACGCTATAGCAGAGACATCATCATCAACAGCCTTTAATAGTTTACTGCTGGACATAGGCCTCTCTTTAGAAAGGAGTTTTTGGCCTACCATACCCCGCTCGCCAGACGGGTTGGTATAGGGTTTTAATCTCGCAGAAGGAGGCGGCGGAGAAGGCCCGGGAGGACGACCTCCACTCGGACCCGATCCGCCGCCGGCGAACCGGGCGGCGGAGGCGCGCCTATCACCGCCTCATGCCGCCCTCAGTGTGGCCGCGGGTGGAAGGGGTGGGTTTCCCCTCCACCCGCATTAGTTTGGCCAGCCGCGAGGGGGCGGCGTCCGAAAATTTTGAGACAGGGCCCGCAACAGGAGCGGGCCGGCGCTAGGAGGGGTCCGGATGTCTTAATAACAGCTGTTCCCGGATCCCTCCTATTACAGGCCCAGAGTGGCACACCGTGTGGTTTTAGTCGGTCCGAGTCCGACACACTACCCCGCCGCAAACCCCGGTGGGGTGACGGTCCGAGGGGATTTCCACACGTTAAAAAAAAAAAAAAAGGGTTTTAAGTTTTCCTTCTATTTGCATTGCTGTTGTCCTGCGCAGTTTGCTTCCTTAGTCGGCTCTTACAGTACCCACGGAATGAATTCGGATGGTGACACTCCGTGTTCTTAAATTTCTTACATTCATAGGTTTAGAGTCTAATAGGTTTCAATTTTAAGTAGCTCACAAATGCCCAAAGATTGAAATCGTTGAACAGTTTGTTAAGCGGCCAGGTACAAGTTTACATACTACTTTGTTTTTGAAACTTCCGTCGACTTGGTACAGGAAAGACAAAACAACGTAAGTTAGTTACATTTAACCATCAATGTATAAATGTATTTCTTTACTTTTACTTTATGTAGAATAAAACTTTAAAGAACTTTTAACCGACTTCAAAAAGTAGAGGATTCTAAGTGCTATTGTTTTTTATAATATTTTTGTTGCTTGAGAGCTCCGTCATTTAAAAACCGATTAAGAAGGAAAAAAGGAGAACCGATTATGTTAGAATAAATATAAAAAAAATTATTTATTTCTGTATGAAAAGTATTGTATGTTCTTTGTTTGAAATTTAATTAAAATTTTACGATGATCGGATGAACAGTACGGATGAACAAAAAATACGAACAATAAAATATTAATTGTTGCACATAAAATCTATTTAAATGAAAATTATACATGTTTGTGTGTATCAGACGTTAGATACATGTATGATTTCTTTTATATAAACCAGATTATTAAAAATTATCAAATTAATATTACATTTTATGTTTTATCTTTGCACCTTCCGCGTAATGCCTGGTTGTCACATCCGAAGGTTTATTGGTTATTAATTAGCATACAATATTTTATTAAGATTTAAATAAATAAATAAAGTTATTGGTTAAAGTATCTTCTTTATTTATTTCAGAAGCCATCGATTAATCAGTCAGAATTCGTTTAAATAAACAAATATACTATAGCTTACCTGTACCCATCTTCTTCTGCCGCGAAGATATAATTTGAGGAGTAGGCAATATTTGAGGCATAGGCCAGACCAAGGTACAAACATAACTGACCATGATAGGGTCGAAACATGCCAAACTTTGCCAGAACATCGTCTAAATTGGTCTTTTGTTTCTCCGTAGTAACCATTTTAATCCGCAACGTATTATTCTTTTTCTTTAATTATTCTTTATCGAGCGCTCAAGTAGTATTCAAAAGTCATTTGATTTTAATGCTTACATTCATAACAAGAATCCCTATAAATACTAATTTTTATTTTCAGTAAACACTATTATGTAAAACAATATAAAAGATCCATTTTTTTCACATTTCTCGATACTTTCACATAGTTTACATAATGCAAAACTCACGTTGTTTCACACAAGTGTACACTACAAGGCCACAATTAAGAATGCAGTTCTCACAACAAATGAGTCTACCTATAAAACGGCCTGCGACGTTCATACTGTTGCACTGTATAGTGTTTCTGTTAAATATTGGTGATTATCTTACGATGTGCATACCTATATATTTTCCAAATTATTGTTAAGTCGCAAAAGAAGTTCTATCTCATGTATGAGAGACGTGTATTTAATGACAGAGCGTCGTTTATCGTTTTTTCTCATCTGTATAAATGCGTTTTCTCAGACAAAAAACTTCTATTCGAACTTTACTGTTAGAAACTTTATAGATAGAAAGTAACACTTTGATAATAATCATTAGTACTAGTAGTTAAATAAATAATTAGATCTTAATATAAGTTCTTGCTCTGGTCAGTAAATTATTGGTAGCGAAACAATGTTTTGTTTTATTATATTGTTTGTATGTTATACTCAACATAGGTAGTTTTTAATAGAGTAATTATAATAATAATATTTTCACACATCTCACACACGGCCGTCTGATCCCAAACTAGGCAGAGCCTGTGCTATGGTAACCAGACTGCTGATAAAGATACTTATATCTTTCTAGTTATGTACGTGTTTGGTTTAAGTACCTACTTAAGAATTGAGGAGATAACTGTTTGTACATATATTGTAAAGGGAAGATACACAACATAACATAATAAACATACCTATTTTAGTTTGTGATGCAAAATGCAATTGTCCTCGACATACGAGTACGGGAACATACCGGTATGGAGATACCTGTCTTTTTACTATTTACAAATCTAATTGTTGTGTTATTAATAATAATAGAGAATTATAAGAAACATAGAAATAAAAGATTATAGATTGAATATTTTAAACTCATTATTTCAGATACAATAAAATCTACGTAAAATGTTCTATTACGAACAGAATTACACCTGAATGATAGTGACCATTATTTTATTCTCTTTGTGACAGATCGTCAAGCAGTGATAAAATAACAAACTGCCAATTTGATTAAAACTAACAATCGATTTTATTTAAGGAAACTTTGAATCTAATTAAAGGAAGTATCAACGGGCCTGTTGGGCTATTGGTTATTGACCCAGACGGCTAAGCAGGGTTCGATTCCCATCTAGGACAAATTATTGTTTGATGAGCATGATCAATTGTTCTATGTCTAAATGTAATTTTTCATGTATGTATTTGGCAATATATAAGTATGTTTGTCAGCAGTCTGGTTACCATAATACAAGATCTGCCTAGTTTAGGACCAGACGGTCGTGCGTGAGATGTGTAAAGTTATTATTATTAATATATTTTGAATGTTATCAAAATGTTCATAAAAATGTAATATCTTTATTACATTTTTATGAACATATTGATTATGAAAATATGTTTATAAAAATGTAATAAAGATATTACATTTTTATGAACATATTGATTATGAAAATATGTTTATAAAAATGTAATAAAGATATTACATTTTTATGAACATATTGATTATGAAAATATGTTTATAAAAATGTAATAAAGATATTACATTTTTATGAACATTTTGATAACATTCAAAATATATTAATAATAATAACTTTATAAACATATTGATTACATTTTTAAATAAATTCCAAAATATACATTAACTAATTATTAATTAATTATAAATTAAAAAAAAAGATTTAAAAATACTTGTTGTTGTTGTTGTAAATTAAGTACACAATTTAGTTTTCGCAGTAAATAACTGAATTTGTTTAATAAACTGTATTTAACCACTAACTACACACACACAAACTAACTGTGTTTATAAACGTTATGTATGTAACCCACGTTTAATCTCCTATAGATTGAGTGTACTATTCGGTAAAGAAATGTATTAACCTAATTTTTAGCTTTAACATCGATATTTTGATATTCTTAACGGACTTGAAATAGGAGGAGGTTATCAGTTCAGATGTTTATAATATATTTTGTGTATGTTTGATAATAACTCCGTCATATATAGATGGATTTTCGAAATTCTATTTTTGTTCAAAAGTGGTTTATTCTGGAATGGTTCTATTTAAATTTCATATAGATCTGAAAGACAACGGAACTCTTCAAAAAATGACAGTAAATCGACCGCGATTGTTGCTAGGTTTTGTAGTGCTCTTTGCAATCAGTATTGTTTGAAGTCGGTTCCACTTTTTTTTTAAAGGATTTATTCCTATGAAATGTTACTAAAATTAAAGTGGAAAGTTATATCTACCAAAATAAAAAATAGGCTATTTCGCAATATTTGCTTTCGATGATATTCATTGCAAATACTACTAAGTACTATCATCATCATCATCATCATCAGCCTATTGCAGTCCACTGCTGGACATAGGCCTCATTAAAATATAAAACTATTAAATTGAATAGTGAATATGGTATAATTTAATTTAATATACTACTTTCCATTTTATAGTTTCTTGTTATTGTGTTGTTTTTCAAATCAAAAATACAGGTTAATCAAACCCTAAAAGTACAAAGCAAGCGTTTTGCTAACAGTCAAATCCGTCATTTTCCGTCATTCATCCGTCATTCGGCTTGACCAATATATTATGAGGTTCCCGTCGCTTGGATTATGCACTTGATGCAAAATGCACTTTTCCTCGACATACGGCTACGGGAACATAGTGTTAGCAACTTCTAGGTTACCCTTAGTTATAAAAAAATATTGCACAAAATGTTTGTTGTTATAAAGGGACTGTTAAACTATAACGTGTCTATAATTATTTTAATCTATTGGATGGAGACGAGGGTAATATATCGTGTAAAGAGGCGATATAGGCTGACAGAGGCCTAGGAGGATCTTTCTCTCTCAATTTAAGGACCAGGCCTTTATCAGTGCAGCAATCACCACCTATATTTTCTGCAATCCGTTTGACCTCTTGATAGGCCACTACTCCTTTATTTACTGTATGTACATTGATCTAGGCTTTCCTAGTTTTCTTTTGCCTTCAATTTTTCTCTTTATTTCCTAGGATGGTATGACTTTCTAAATAGAACCTGGATAACAACATAAAAGGTAGTAATGCCCTTTATGTTGGTAGAGAACAATCATCCGTTCGTCCTATACTTTTATGGCTAAAGTTGTAAATACTCATGGTCTCACAAAACAAAAACTTCAAAAGTGCATTTTAGTTTCATTTATTGGTCACCTTGATTTTGTTTTATTTTTTAACTTTATTTTGCTTCTTTATACTCAAGGCCAAAATGTTTTAGCCTTAAATCTTTAGACACTTCATTATTTGGTTTTAAAATTGTATTAGAAGGTATTCTATGTTTTGTTTCACCGCCTTCTATGACTCCAATGGCTTCAGCTTCTTTAACTGTATCCGGTAACGAAATGTCAGCAACATCAGACACAAAAAATGTCAATAGTCCTGCTATTATTGATACAATACCAAATATTAATGAAGGAAGACCTTCCCAGTAGACAGTCTGAAAAAAAAAAGTTGTAGGTGACTTTATAATCAAAATGTTGCTTCTTCTTTAGGGTTCCTTGATGAGGATAGAGGTGAACTTAATTCTATAAGTAATTCTAGCTTCAAATGGACTTTAAGAGTGTTCTGTTTTTTTAAATTTGGAGAGCAATTTTGGTTTAAATAAATTTTATGATTAAATCAGACATATTTACGACAGAAAGTAAATAATAAAATACCCTTACCAAAAGTGGAGCTTGTGGTGCAACAATGGAGCCGATCCTACCAAGAGAAGAGCAAAGAGCGTGCATTGAGTTTCTCGTGTAAGTAGGGAACAACTCTGATGTGTATATGTATGTTATGGCGAAGTATAAAGATGCCAACAACTTTCCAGCCATAAACATTGTTATTGAGAGCCAGGTTAAACCTGGAACAATTGAATGATGTATCATTAATAATTAAAATATACAAGAATAATTTATTTGGAAACATTTTGGATTTGGATTATTGGGATCTAGTTCTCATTTGGTATACAATCTCTTGTTCTAAAAAAAATGTGGTAGTTAATTAAACATTTCTATAAAATATTAAAAACCAAAAATTACTACAAGAGATCGCCACGAGCGATAAGACCGCCGATTGTTAGGTCTACTTTTTTGCAACTTTTTTATTTTTATAAAAAAAACAACTCCCGCATTAAGAATATATCCTGTGTCATGGGGGACTTTACAAACATACATGAAACTGACACAAAGAACACCCAGACTCAGAACAAATTTGTGGATCACACAAAGTGTCGTCCCATGTGGGGTTTGAACCCGGCGTAGTAGGTAGCGGCGTGGCGAACGGTTAAACCACTACGCCATTCGTACTCATCTTTTGTTATGTTTTAAGTGTATACAATAAAGATATAAATCAATAAAAGGTAAGTAACTCGACACTTAATTGTGATAATTTATTTATAAGGTAATATACTTTTTACAGGCGAATACCAAGCAAATTATACCAATCATAAGCCATCCATGACCGTACTTATGAATTAAAATTGATTTTATAATGCTTTAAATATTTTCATGTGTCATTAACATTTACAATTTTATTTCCCTAACTTTCATAATTCATGACGTGACACATAACGTGACGGATTAAGAACACGGAGCGTCACCATCCCTATTCATCCCGTGGGTGTCGTAAGACCCGACTAAGGGAGCAAATTACGCAGGAAAACAGCACTGCAAAAAGAAGGAAAACTTGACACAAACCTTATACCAACCCGTCTGGCCAGCGTGGTATAGTAGGCTAAATCCTCCTTTCTAAGGAGAGGCCTATGTCTAGCAGTGGACTATTAAAGGTTGTTGATGATTCAACCTACGCTCTTTTTCTTGTGTTTGTCTGAACAAATACAGTACAGTTTTCATGTAATCAAGGGTACCATTATATAACCTATACTTACTTGTGGGTAAAAAAGGTTGCCCTATGCAGAATACTCCAGCTGCTAAAAATGACGCAATTAAAGGATATTTCCTCCTATACCTCATTAGTATGTACATTGCTATGAAAGTTCCTGGGACTTCAGCCATAGCTACCAAGGCATAGTTCGCGTATTTGTCTCCCTGCAATGACACTGATGTGATAGACATACCGTAGTTAACAAGTGTCGAAGTAGTCCACCACACAACACATATCATGAATCTTTGAATTAAAGTTGGAGAGCTAAATGTGCTCCTTAATACGGCTGAAAATTTGATGTTTTCATCTTTGTCCGTTTCACAAGTAATGTTATCAAGAACCTTTTCTTCAAGTTTTACTTTATTCTTTTTTGTTAAATTTTCTATAACTTTCACCGCCTCTGATTTCTTTCCTTTTATTAACAACCATCTTGGGCTTTCATCTAGCAGGAATAAGTAAAAGAAGAATAATAATGCTGGTGAGTACAGTACTCTCAAGAAATTGCGCCAGTCAGGAACTAGCCAAGCTATTAAAGCTTTGTATACAGCACCTACGCAGAATCCGATACCAGTTATCATAAAGTAAGGTACTCGTTTCCTATTGCTAACAATTTCAACATCTGTAAAATATAATAATATAAAAGCATTCGTTCATAATACGTACGAGTAGAATAAATGTATGTTCTTATAATATATTTAGAAAGTAATTTATATTCTTTTCAACATAAAAATTAACATGATAAAACAGATATCGTTAACAAATATTCTTGGGAATTCACTTGACCTCACCATCAATTTCAGCCATGAAGTGTACCTATAGTATTTTAAAGTTTTAAACTATTACGTCATTTACTCAATAACCCTACAAGTTAAAAATCCATCAACTGTCTCAAAAAGGAGTAGATTTTCATTCAAATTATTTCATTGGAACTTACTCAAAATATAAGCCGGCGAGCAAATATCTCCGAAGGCAGATTCCAGGAATTCTAGCAATATGTACATCCAGTATGAAGTGACAAAACTCCGGGCTACACCGAGAATACCGCCAAGAACTCCAGTTATTACGATCATGGGCTTCCTGCCAACTCTAAAAGTAGATTTTTCAGTGACAGAATATGTAACTATTGTGCATTAAAATCTTCATAAAAACTTGACTTTGCTACGTCGAAATAATACGAAATAATACTGTTAGAAAAAATATTGCATTTATTTGCTGTTTAAACTTGGAATGTATATGTATCCCATGATAAAATATATGACAATGGCTGATCTGCTATGACTTATGCAGGTATATCATAAACCAACTTCTGTACTCACTTGTCAGATAATGGGCCAACCAATAATAGACCAACCATATACGCGAGGCTATGTACTGTCCCCACAAACGTTCTCTTCCAATCTTGACATGCCAACTGAAACTGTGAATGCGGTTCATTAGGTATTTTTTGTTTCCAAAATTTCAAATGTATTTCGATGGTGAAGCACAGTTTATAAACGACAAAATAAAAATTGACATTGAAAAAATATTTATATCGAATAAGTTTAATTAGAAAGAAAATTTAAAACGTCAAACGTGAATTACTAATATTGGTACTTTGCTAAAACTAAAAATGTATTTTATAATAATATGTTTGACGTATTTTAACCGATTCTGCGTCTCTCTGAGGCCTCTAAACCCCATTAAATTAGAAAGAGAATGTCATTATATTAATATTTGTAACTTAAGACGTCTGTCACACACGGCCGTCGGATTCTGAACTAGGTAGAGCCTGTATACTATATTAACCAGACTTCTAATAAACAGCATTTTTTTTTTCTTCTCCGCGCGGAAACCCCCTCGGATACCACCTGTCGGTGGCACGTCGGACTCGAACCGACTAAAACCGCACGCCGTCTCGAGCACTAATAGCCGGGGAACCAGGTATACCCTAGAAAGGATGTCCCTGGTTCCCCGAAACTAATAAACAGCCTGGAATTTTATTATTATTATTCTATCATAGAACCGCTGTTAAGCAATTCTTTCGTTGCCTTTCACTGAGTGAGTGAGGTTACCGGAGCCCAAATCACTTGTAACTTATGAGGGCAGCAACGCACTTGTAACTTATGAGTTGCAGGTGTCCATGGGCGGCGGTAGTTGCTTACCATCAGGTGACCCGTCTGCTCGTTTGCCCCCCTTATACCATAAAAAAGTACTCTGCATATGTCACTTATGGTCAGTATATTGACGACCGGATGGCGTAGTGGTTTTGTGTAATGGACTGCTATTCAAAAGTTGCGAGTTCGATTCCCGCTCAAGTCAAACATTTGTGTACACGAACATTTAATGTTGATTTGGTCTGGGTGTTTCTATGTATAATATGTATGTATTTACAAAAAAAAAGTATATATGTATTTATATCAGTTGTCTAGTACCCATAGTACAAGCTCTGCTTAGTTTGGAACTAAATGGCGTTGTGTGAATGTGGTAGAGTTATTATTATTATTATTGCCGAAAACTGGCTTCCCTCCTCACCATAACCTCGTTGGTGGGAGATAATGTAATCCAATATGTACCAAAGAGCGTAGAGTAACTAAGGTTAATCTCACTCTTTGATATAAGGGTACTGTTAACAGTATCCTTGGTTGAGTGTCACCGGGCCACGCATATGTCATCACGAAGTCTATCAACTGGTGTCTGCTCTATTGAAAATATTATAATTTTACCAAGACCGGCTTTTTGATAAATTATGTGAGTTGGATTCCCTGTAACGTAGGTTTAGTGTATGTATTACCTAATTAGGCAAGTTATTTTAAGAAAACTAGAATACAATGCAACTTTCAGATATCTAAAATCATGGTTCTCTTGTTGCCTTTTCAGCAAAATTTATTAGATATTTTTGGATATCAGTTTTCTTCTATTGTTTTTAACGTGTGGAACTTAATATAGCACAATGAAATGTTTGCAGGATTTCGGTAAGCTCTATATTTAAAAGTATTGGAGTTATAATAATAATAATGAAACAAACGTTGCAGGAACGCTTTTTTGACTGCCTGCAAAAAGTACTTAAAAGTCTTTTAAGTACTTCTGCAATGGTTTGGTCATGCCGGTTCTGATGTATTATATTAAATATCAAGACCCTACATAATCGCGAAATATGCAATCTCAGAGAATATTTTCTACATACTGATGTGGCAGTACATCGCAATGTAGTTGCAGTGGATACCGGATTCACCCCGCTTGCTCTGGCTAAAGAGAATAGGCGCAAACCTGTAGTACTAAGTACTAATGATCGCAGATAAGTATGGAAGGGCAAACAGCTCCATGGTCGGTTTTATCGGGTCATAAACAGGTCCGATATAGACTTAAAGGCATCTACGACTCGGCTACGGCATGGTGATCTCTTCGGAGAAACTGAAGGTTTTGATTGTGCGATTATGGACGAAGTTATCATGACGAATAACTATCGGCAATATATCCTGAAAGATGGTATGATTGACATCTGACGGGAAAGCCACCGTTCTCGTCTAACGGTGAATATTTGCACAGGCACAACCAAGTAGCCAGGATCGTACACCAACAGCTTGTCATTAAATACTAACTTGTAAATCTAGAGGTGCCATACTACAGGTATGAGCCTAACCTAGTTCTCGAGAATGGTCGGGCCACATTGTATTGGGATCGATCTATTATCACAGACAGGACTATTGTTGCCAATAAGTCTGATATTGTAGTGATAGATCGATTAGAGCGCCGCGCGATGATTGTTGATATCGCCGTTCCTCATGACGAGAATCTCGAGAAAGTTTAAAAAGAAAAACAAATAAAATATTTGGATTTATCTCCCAAAATTCTCGATATGCGGAATGTCGATTCAGTGATCATTGTTCCGATAGTCGTATCTGCTCACGGTTTGATAGCCAAGAGTCTTGACCAACACCTTAAGAGGCTCACGTTGGACGGCTGGATCAAGGGTCTGATGCAGAATGCAGTCCTCCTTGACACGGCTCGTATAGTGAGGAGGTTCCTATCATTCGAGTCCTAACCACCGGTGTCTTGGTACCTGTACCCGATGTCGGTGGTCTACTACTTTTTATATTTTTAAATGTATTTTTTTTCTTTTGTGATATATTTAAAAATATAATCAATATGTAGATATAATTTAATAAAGTGAATAATAATAACTTCATACATCTCACACACGGCCATCTGATTCCAAACTAGGCAGACCCCGTACTATGGTGACCAGACTGCTGATAAACATACTTATTAAATACATACATATTATAGAAAATTACACCCAGATACAGAACAAATGACCGTGCTCATTACACAATATTTGTTTCGGGTGGGAATCAAAAGCACGACCTTAGTAGTCAGGGTCCCTTACCACTTGACCAACAGGTCGTTACACTTCTTGCAATCAACTTTCTAAATACCTTCATAAATATGCAGGCTGTATAAATTAAAGTTGATTTTAACATTAGTTTTAGCTTTTTATTGCTTTAAAAGTGACGTATTATAAAAATACTAACTTCAGCTACAAAACTGTTAGGTTTATCGTAAACCCATCTTGTGCACGTTGTTGAGTTGATGGCTCCACAAGTGTTGTTAATGAAAGATTCATCTGCGCATCTGGAACAAAACATTTTATTTTAATTTCATTTAATTTCAGAAACCCGTTCTATTAAAATGAATATTTAAACTCTGCATGCGTATTTTAGATAGAATGCATTATTTATGCTGCATTAGATAAAAATGAACAAGAATAATAAAGAATGATCGCCTAAAATTAGATATCTTGCAAGATAATATTTTGCAAAAATAAGCATCAAAAGTATATTATTAGTCTCTGTATAGGTCGTGAAATACATCATCATCATCAACAGCCTTTACTAGTCCACTGCTAGTCATGGGCCTTTCCTTAGAAAGGTGGTTTTGGCCTACTATACATCGCTGGCCAGACGGGTCGATATAGGGTTTGTTTCAAGTTTTCTTTATCTTTGCAGTGCTCTTGTCCAGTTTGCTCCCTTAGTCGGCTCTTACGACACCCACGGGATGAATAGGGGTGGTGACACTCTGTATTCTTAATCTGTCTGGATAGGTCTCATAATAAGTCGTGAAATTAGCTTTAATATATTATTACGTTAAACCTGTAAGATAGGACATGTAATCATTGTACTTAAAAAAATTAAAAGGCTTTATTATACTGGTAATGATTCATTTTGGAATTATACATACTCGTACAACAGATCAATCAGGTACAGTAAAACAAAATTTGTTAATCAAACTTTAATATGAAATTTAATCAAAATTTAGGCATTTATATTTACATTTAGAAGTCTGTTAGTACTCATTAATTTTAAATTAACCTACCAATAACGTATTGTAAACGGTAAACATAATTTCCATTCAATTTACATTTCCGTTAATGAATTTTCTTTTTATATCCATTTATTGGATACTGACCAGACAGAAACAATCCGGTCTATTGATGAAGGAATTTATTTACACAATTTTAATTTGCCGTACAATATTAAAATTATATTTTATACTTAACGTTTTGCTACTTTTGGACTGTGCATAAGCGTATCATGCGTAAATAAAATTACACCGAAAAGATGAAACAACTTAAATTAAAAAGAAGGAAAACTTGAAACAAACTACTTTTTTTTTTTTTTTAACGTGTGGAAACCCCCTCGGGCCGTCACCCCACCGGGGTTTACGGGGTGGGGCGGGAAGGTCTCGGTGGTGGTGGTCCGTGTGGTAACGGATTAAGAATACAGAGTGTCACCACCCTTATTTATTCCGTGGGTCTCGTAATAGCTAAGCTAAGGGAGAAAACTAAGCAGAACAACAACACTGCAGAGAGAAGGAAAATTTGACACAAACCCTTTTTTTTTTTTTTTTTTTTTTTAACGTGTGGAAATCCCCTCGGACCGTCACCCCTCCGGGGTTTGCGGCGGGGTGGTGTGTCGGACTCGGACCGACTAAAACCACACGGTGTGCCACTCTGCGCCTGTAACAGGAGGGATCCGGGAACAGCTGTTGTTAAGACATCCGGACCCCTCCTAGCGCCAGCCCGCTCCTGGTGCGGGCTCCGTCTCAATATTTTTCCTCTCTTTAGGCGACGTCCGGCACACGCGGACGCCGCCCCCTCGCGGCTGGCCAAACTAATGCGGGTGGAGGGGAAACCCACCCCGTCCACCCGCGGCCACACTCAGGGCGGCATGAGGCTGTGATAGGCGGGCCTCCGCCGCCCGGTTCGCCGGCGGCGGATCGGGTCCGAGTGGAGGTCGTCCTCCCGGGCCCTCTCCGCCGCCTCCTTCCGCGAGATTACTACCTCGCAGAAGGTTTCGACCGCGGTAAAACTACTGTCGCTACCGGCCATGGAGCGTACTACGGCCGGTAGCGAGAGATCCACTCCGATGACTGCAGTGAGGGCCCGGCGCTGCGCCGCCCATGCGGGGCAGACCGCCAGCGTGTGCTGGGCCGTGTCCTCACTGCAGTCGCAGTGGTGGCAGGCGGGACTCAGTTCCCTCCTAGCGACCGAGTGCAGGTACTTTCCGAAGCAACCGTGCCCGGAAAGCACCTGCGTCAGCCGGAAGGAAAGGGTCCCGTGCTGCCGCCCTGCCCACTCGGCGATGACCGGCTGGAGAGCCTCCACGGCGGCGAAGCCAGCGCGTGGAGTCTCCAGCCGGAACGACCAACGAGCCATCGTGGCTCGGCGAGCGGCTTCGCGCCACTCGCGCACATCCTCGGGCGGAGGGCGAAATCCGCTCTCCGCCCGGGAGTCAGCCACTCGCCGACAAACTTCGGCGAGCACTTCCGCCTCCAAATCCCACGGGGGAGTTCCGGCCAACGCGCATGCCACCTCCGTCGAAACGGTGCGGTAACCGCGTATGGCTCTGACCGCCATTGCCCTCTGAGGGCGCCAGAGGCGTACCCTATTCTGGGCGGTCAGAGCCGCCGCCCACACCGGTGCACCGTACAGTGCCATTGACCGGACAACCCCCGTGTACAGCCGTCTTGTTGCGACGCTGGGTCCACCCATATTGGGCAAAAGTCGCCCTAGGGCAGACGCAGCGCCGACCAGCTTTGGAGCAAGCTGTCGGAAGTGCTCGTCGAAGAGCCACCTCCCGTCGAGGATCAGGCCCAGATATTTCATCTGGGCCCGAACCGGTACGAGGACCGAGTTGACCACGATTGAGGCGCCAGGGGGTGGACCACGACGGGGCCCATGAAATAACAGGGCCTCCGTCTTATCTAGGGCCACCCGTAAGCCCAGCGCCTCAATGCGCCCGACCACCAGGGAGACTCCCCCTGTGGCCAGGCGCGCCGCCTCTTGGAAGTTTGCCCCCCGGGCTGTCACCAGGGTATCGTCTGCGTAACAGATTACACCCAGCCCGGGGGGGAAATCGGCGCGAAGGGCCCAGTCGTACCCTATGTTCCACAAGAGGGGTCCAAGAACAGACCCCTGTGGAACACCGCACGACATGGGCCGACACCTCAGATTACCTTCTCGGTCCTCGTACACGACGGTACGCTCCTCTAAATAGTCTGCCACTAGCCGCCTCAGGTACTTTGGCACCCCATGATAGTGGAGTGCTTCCCTGATGCAGCTGAATGGCAGACTATTGAATGCGTTGGCGATGTCTAATGACACCGCCAACAGCACGCCGCCACAGCTCACGGCCTCTTCGGTCACGGCCCACACAAACCCTATACCAACCCGTCTGGCCAGCGTGGTATAGTAGGCCAAAACCTCCTTCTAAGGAGAGGCCTATGTTCAACATTGGACTATTACAGGCTGCTGATAAACTTAAATAGTTTTCTTGTTTGTATTATATTATGAACTTATAATGTGAATTTTGTTTTCTAATATAGGGGCTAAGCTAGCAGACAGGTCACTTGGTGGAAAGTGACTACCTCTGCCCATAAACGCCTGCAACTCAGGAGTCACAAGTGCGTTGCTGGTCTTTGAGGTAGGAGTACGCCCTTTTGTTTTGAAACGCCCTAGGTTTAAAGGTCGTATCAGTCCGGAAATAACGCAGGCGATCATTTGTTCCCAAATTGATTGTGCAGGGCAAAAAAAGATCTTGAAAAGCGCACAGTGCCAATTATCTATATGAAGAAGATGAAAGTTTTGAAGTGTGGAACGATGGCGGAGGTTTGCAGCCGGTATTAGTCTGAACGATTCCTCGGAGTACTCTCCATGATATATATGACAGAAAATGCAGAATGAGCTACATTTCTACCTAATACCAAGTTTAAGTTAATCCGATTGGAGATCTTCTAGCTATCGACGATATGAATCGCTTTCTATTGGATGCGATCCAGAGGGAAAAGCTGGTACTGGGGTGCACCTGCCAAACATATGAAAACAATACTGTCCTCATACTTTTTACCGCTATGCGGCTGGACTTGAGCCTTATAGAGTTAAAAGTAGTTTAATGAAGTGATATACTGCCTCGATTTGTTCAGCACATCAATCTGCTGATTTGACCTTACCTTCTAAATAAACGTGAAACTGGACTTTGCCCGATATGTCTATGTCAAGGATTCCAATACTGACTAAAGCAGTTAGGGAGAAGCTTAAATCAAGGTGATACGACAAGTGGTATCGTTTTATCTTTCTTTGCGGTGAATAGGCAACCCTGTGTCTTTTTAGGGTTTAAATGGACTAGATTCAGTCGACCCCAATCTAAAACCTCTGCTAAGGAAGTTTCAATTGAAGACACAAGTTTGTTTCGGCTCTCTCGGCATGATGATTCATGCCTATTCTGTGACAGAAAATTAAGAAATAATACAAAATCAAGAAAATACGTACTAACTTAACTTAACTTACTTAAATGTATTTAAAGTTTAACTATTAGAACGTGTTAATCGTACTTAATATAATATATATCAATTACTGGAAACAAAGTAAATCGGTAATAGATTTTTAATTAACTACCAACCTAACCTAACAAAATAAATTACAAACGAATCCACACAGAATTTGGCAATTAAAATCGACTTATTACGTATAAACACTTATTTTCTTAAAATAAACAACACTGTGTTATCGTTATGGAGCGCTGTGCGTCTCTGTCATATGTGCCTTCGCTACAAACACCTGAGTACTAAGGTGCTAAGTGCTAAGCTAAGTATGCAGCAGCGCGGCATCAGCGCACTTTATATGTGTATACCTTTTCTTTTTTTTTTTTTTTTTCCGTGCGGAAATCCCCTCGGATACCACCTGTCGGTGGCATGTCGGACTCGAACCGACTAAAACCGCACGCCTTCGCCGGGTACTAATAGCCGGGGAACCAGGTATACCCTAGAAAGGAAGGCCCTGGTGCCCCGACATACCTCGGGTCATCTACAGACGAGTAGACGACCCCCGCCCCGTGTGGGAACCCCATGTTACGAGCGAGCGCGCTTCGCAACGCGCTCGCCGCCACCCCGGCCTGCTTCTGCTAGGGTGACAGATGGCCTCACCTGTCACCCCCAGGCCTGCGCTTATGGAGGACGGAGGTCGTTCTGCGACCTCCGGCGCCTGAGTCGCCTGCGCTGCCTGCTGCCGGGCCTGGCGGGCCGGGAGAGTTCTAAACCTCTCCCGGTCCCGCTCCGCCGTCTCCTTCGCGAGCATA